TACCCTGCTTTCGCTTAACGTAAAATAATGTAGGTATCGGTTAGCGAATAACGCTAACGCACGCTATTAGAAAATATTTAATATTTTTAAATTGTAACAATACTCGTATGAATGTAAAAAACTTATCTTAATGGTTTGAGTTGTTACGAAATATTTAAATACTTAGTGGCTTTAAAAATTGTTTCTTCGATCAAATATAAATCTATTATTCTTGATTAAAATAGTTTTCGTTATTCCAAAATCTATTTTGACCAATCGCTTTACATTCATGCATATATCAGCCATACTTTGCAATCTAGTCACCAAATATGTGTCAAATATACTGACTTCGCTAAAGTTTTCGATTAAGGTAACCAAATCATTCTTTATAAATGGGTAAAGATTAGCTTTTGGTTTTTAAGATCCGTATTTATATTATAGCTGCATAATTTTTATTCTGATCAAATGTATGATGTCAAGTATAAAAATGTTGTCTCTATTTTTTTCCAATTACTTCTAGAATGCATGGAGGATTTCATCTAGCACTATTTCTGATCTTTAACTTTATAAATGATGATTTGTTATTTAATGATTTACATAAACGTATTTGCTGATTATCTAAAAATGTTCAAAGTTATCTCACCAATTTCCTACTCCACACAATCCCTGTCTTTTATTTTTAACGCCTACTCATTTCTTTAGTATAGCTCAACCTCTAAGTCCCTCAATAACTTATTCCAGGAAAGTATTTCCCGACGGCACGCCGAGTGCTGCTCAAATAGAATTAAACATCTATTACTCATTTTAATATTGCGTTTTCTCCAATCGCTAACATGCCAAAAACTATTCAATCTATTCTCACTCATTATTACTTATATTGGCACAACTTTTAAACCACCTCACGCTAATGCCTAATTTTATCTAACCTAGTTTATAGCTCATTCACACATTCACCTCAACTCAAAATTCGTACTACAGTTTCCTTTCATTTTTATTTCATCTATCATTAAAAATATAATGCCAGCACGCGTTTCCATACATTCTTCATTTTTAACTCATCTTATCAGTCTTAGAAGTAAAAAAATTGAAAATGTAATTTTTTCACCTAGTTGAACTTTTTCTCTATAATTTTATAAATGGAAATTTATAATTATAATATAAACATTATAAGCAGCAAGTCAAACATCTTGAAATGTGGTATGCAGTTTTTTTATGTTATGCGTGTGCCAGAAAAAACAAATGTTTTACTGTGATTCTCTTAAATCTTAATTAAATATTTGCATACTATTACGTTAATTTTTTCAAACAAATTCCAAGGAAAACAAATTGTCATTGAGTTAAAAATAATTGTTTTAAATATTCACTTACAAACTATTTGTATTCTAAGATATAATAAGGTAAACAGAAAAATATTGTATTACATTTTCCCGTTAATTGAGTGACTAAATGGATTTTAAGTAGAATAGAGTAATTTAGGCGTTTGGTGTAAGAAAATTTACGAATAAAATGTTACAATCGATCCCGTTAATTATTCGATTATTACTAATAATGAAAGCGAAAACAGAAATCAAAATTATTCTTCTATACCTTGAATGCATCCAATCTTATAAAAGCTTATTCCCAAAAATACCAGCAAATATATATTATATATACATTAGAACTTTAAATTGAACTGAACGCAAAGCTGTGTTAATTAACAATTAGTTTGTTCATTGAGTAATTTGTTGTATTTCTTTTCAAAATCAAGATGTGCATTTATAAAGTTAAAGGGCAATACGAACAACCAATACACGTTAACAAATTAGGTATATATATATATATATATATATATATATATATGTACATATATGTATATATGTATGGTTGTTCGTATTGCCCTTTAACTGGCTCCGCCTCTATTTCAAGTCCAATAAGTGTGATTGGAAAGAAAATCTGAATGGGCTGAGGGCTCTTAGGTCTGAGGGACGAGGGTGATAAGAAAGTGCCTCAGTATGTTTTAGACTCTATTTTGGCTGTTAATTATTATTTGGTGTTCAGAAGGAAAGAAAATGCCGTACAGCTACAACTTTCCGAAATGCGATGAAAAAATAACACAATATCACCCAATTTATCTTTTAATTATCAAATTATAATAAAATACTAAATTATCTAAGAAGGTTACAATTATAAAGCAAGACAACAAGTTTTAGTACAAGAACTTCCTCAATTTTCTGTTCCACAAAAAAAATGTGTAAATTATTTTTCCAGTCATTAAAGGAAGTAAACAGAGTCTAAAATGTATCGGACCCAAAACATCTGCATGGTAAGTCGACATATCGAGTAAATAGTATACAAAATTAATCTTAACGTGCGTTTCTACTAGACCAGAATGATTAGCCAATCGCTATATCAGTAAATGAAGTACAATGGAGGATTTAAACCACATCATAGAACTGAAAGGTTTTGAATTGGAGCAAAATATAGTTCGACAAGAAGATAATATGCAAAATCCAACAACACAGAAACAAATTAAAAAGAATCGTCACAATAAAATAACAATACAATTAAACGCCAGCATAATGGAGTCAAACGAAACGCACGTTTCAAAAATGATTAAAAAACGAGCAAAATATAAAAAATATCGAAGGATTTTAAATAAATTGGGTATTCTTAATCAGCTAAGTAATTTTTCATCATGGAGAATTCCTAAAATAACTAAACAACCAATATAGACAGAATATAAATTATAATTCCAAAACTCACGTACAACATTCTTAAGAACTAAATACATTATACACACCGTCATAAAACAACACATCAAAAAGAATTAGAAAATGCTAAATTGCAAGTTGGAATACAAGAATTAGTGGAATTAATTTCGTGATTCAAACAAGCTGTCATTACTGAAATATCTTTGTAAGTTTATCATAATTTCATATTATGTTTAAAATTGTTTAATATTATTGTAACGTTATATCTAAGTTTAATCCCGTAGCTTTTCTACAATTACTATACATTGTAAAAGAAAATAAATAAAATTATTTAACATATCATGTTTTAATTATAGTTAAATTATTAACAAATTAAATTAAGAAATACACTATTTTAAGGAAGATAAATAAAATTAAACACCAATCATATAAAACTCAGCATGCTCAATTAAATAGGACTCAACAAATAAGACGATTTTTAAACAGCAACTTTATATTCTTACCTTCTTATCGAAATTTTTACTTCTTACCTTGGGAAGCAGTTTGGGTATCTTAATTACGTGTTTAGTATTTATTTGAATGGTATCTCAATTGATAAACAATTTTATGAATAAGGTTCTTTGTAGACTAAAGTTAAAAAAATCAACTCCTCTCTCGTGCAAATCTTTAAAATTACAACTTTGACAGTCTATGATTTTTTTCTCAATTTCACAAAATTAGGAAAAATAATACTTAAAAATAGATATGTTTGTTGCGCAATATTGTTTAAAACGTTTAAATTACATAGGTACTAACAATATAAGTGCTACTGGTATCAATACACGTTTGAAGACAATTCAGTTCGTTCAAAATTGAGCGTTATCTTTTATTTTTTCCACTATGATTCAACAAATTTAATCACATACATACTAATAGTGAAATTTGTCTACGAAATTAAAAGAAATATATTATTTTAATGAACTATACAAACTAAAATTGGATTTTAATAACTTTGCCTAAAAAATAACTCTATTAAGAGCTAGACTACCAAATGATTTCCTATTTAAATTTAATCATTTTATACAATAATAGTACCTATATTAAAATAATTAATTAGGTACCAACTGTCATCATAAATAGGTAGGAGATAGTATTCACAATATATTATAAAGAAGTCAAAATTTGTCTTGTTTGATGATAAAAAAGCAAATTTATTTACTTTTGCTTTTTTTCATCAATACACCCAGCCAGTCTAATTACTCATAACATTTAAATTCGTCGATGACGCCTAAAACCAATTTCACGAAGTGTGTTTTCTGTATATTGATGCACATATGCATTCAAAATAAGACAGTACTAAAAATAAAGTATCTTTTTATTATATTATAACATAATAATATCGTAACAATATACTAAATAGGTTGAAGTTAAATAATATATATTTAGGCTGTGACCTCGGGTCCCAAAAGACATTACACTGGCTAGCTGCCTGAACAATATTGAAATTTAGTTTACAGTGCCAAAATTAATATTATAGACCCAATAATTACATAGTAAACCTTAAATCACGTTAAGCAATATTCTAATAACATTTGAGACCGTTTAACAATATAGGATTACATGATCGTTTAATTAATCGAGGGTTTAGTTTAAAGCGTAGACTAAATTGAAATTTAGGTTTATGTAAAATCTAATATAATATTCTGAATTTGATTTAATCCTGTTTTACAATCTGAAAAAAAATCTCCAGAAGACAAACTAATATAAAACCAATGTTAGTCATGAATTACATTATAAAATGAACAGATCGACTGCTGTTTACTTTATAACGGTTAGACTTACCATTGCAACGTATCAATTTCTTTTTTAAATTACCCGGTAATGTGTTTTATGAACTTAAACTAAGGAAAAATGAATTGCTAAACTACAATTTGTTGCTGCTTAAAATTATATAAATCAGCTGGATTTCTATACAAAAATGTAGAAAGATTTATAGATAAATTGAGACCAATTTAATTGCTTCATTTTAGTCTTCAATTCAATAAATATCTTATCCTTAGTAATTAATATTAGGCAATATCAAAAATTAACGTCTAGTTTATTTTAATTTGAATACACGTTAAACTTGACAGCCTAGTTGTCTATTATTTTTACAACCTTTTTGTGAAACTTAATAATTGTATAATGGTAAACAGTAGTCGTGTTAAAATCGTACGTCCACTGCATATACCACATTTATGTGATCATGCATATAAGTATTAATTATTAAAAAACATATTAATATACATATATTGATTTTAGAAAATACAAAATTAGTCTTTTAACAGTAATAGTTTATTTAAAAATGTATGATCAGTGCATTTTTACAAAATTTCATTTTTTTTTAAATTATTATAGTTTGCGAATCTAAAATATTCGAAATGTATTACCTAAATAGTCACCAGAATTTGACATGGACGAAACTCCAGTACAGCTGTACATTGCATATACTTTTTGCAAATCAGTCGCTGTAGCTCCATTTCTTTGTCCGAGCGCCATATTCGGATCGTTCTAAAAAATTCAAAATTAGTCAATTAGAACAAACGAAGTGTACTTCAATAATAAATTACGAATATAATTCTGATGAAAGTGCACAGCAACACAGATGTGTTATGTACATTTTTTTTATCAATTAAATTATCTTAAAAAATCGACAAACAATAAATGTCGACACAAAATAAGTTTTAAAATTTTAGGGATGGTTAAAATGACAAATTTGTGAAATGTCATATGAATATGACATAATATCAACATTCAAACGTCGGTTTTGTAGAATTATTTAAAATACATACTTATCACCAACAAAGACTATGATAATCGGAAACCGCCTTAGCAGTCCAAGTAGGGCAATTATTAAAATTGTTTTTGTTATATTTTATAGCAAATTAAAATTCTCAGAAAACTGACTTTTATCGTGTACAGCCTACACAGAAAAAACATGGCTCCGTCGACTAAAATATATGACTAACATAACAACAGCCAGATGTTCTAGTTGACTTTAAACTAAATAAATAGTTCTCTAAATAAACTTTTAGTTAATGCAACTTTAATTTAGAAGATTGATATAATAATTATTTAAAAATTGAATGAACTATTTATTTAGTAAAGATAACTTTAAAATCAAAATTGTAACTACTTTTTTTCTCGAGTACTATTATTATATTATAGTATATTATATTGCCATACAATTTAGATAATTGTTAAATGAATATAATAGTTAGGCATAATTTTGTAAATTATTTGAGTAATTAAACACTATATTATATAGGTCAAACAAGCGAAAAGGTTTTTTTGCAAATGGGTAAATAATATATATACACACTACATCACCATGACAGATTTTTGTCAAGTACGCCCTCGCCATGGTTTGTTTTAATTTTATTTGACAGTACCTAATTATATAACTAGTACAACAACATGTCTAATTATTTGGCCTACAACTCATTTGAAGTATTGTACTACAGCCGTTACAAAAGCGGGCCATTAACATGTAAATAAGTTTTAAGTTAAGTTTATTCTAACTTAATAGTTCTAACTTATATTAAGTATTAATGTGATTAAATTATTCATAGCTTTACACTATCTAAGTAGTTAAACTAATGTAATCTGTTTTTTAAATCGTTTTGATTTGGAGCGTGAAGAATAGGATGGGTAAAAATAATTGATTTAATCAACTTTAAATGAAATAAGGGGTAAATATAGGCAATAATTGTTTAGAGTCCGTTATAAGATTACACTTAATAGTATACCCAAATATACAATTTCAAAAACATTAAGCTATAAGATATAAAAAAAATAGTTATTTATTACATCTAAGCATATTGTAATTATATAGTTGAAATAGCAATATTTAATCAGAATAAACTAAAGGGACAATTCGTTTTAAAATCGGATTTTTAACAATTCAGGAATGATTAAAACATATTTCTAAACTTTAATTTTTTAATTTTGTTTTATAGTTTTTCTTTAATCATTTTGAAAAAACTAAAACGTATTTTTAAAAACGCACTAAAGACATTTATTTAGGTTTACTATGCAATAATGGTATTTTGAAAAAGTTCTTGGATTTATTCCTTAGTAAAACTAAAAATTTTCCTGTTTTTATTAAATTATTTGGTGTCAACATTTGGTTCACAAGTTAATTGTTTCCATAATTAGAACTAACGTAAATTGGATGTATACACAATTTAAATAATTGATAAGTACATAAAACCGACATCATAACAGCTATGAGTTATTTTTGACACTATTTAAGTTTTGTAATTTATAATATTTTGCTATAAAAAGCAAGGGTGGAATCCACTTGAGAGTTTTCTTAAAATCTGACTTTTAAATTTTTTTGTTGTACCTTGTCTAAAGGATTTTCGATTAAAATTCAAATTGGTTCCATTGAATATCAATCAACATAGCCAACGCGCTTGTATGAGGCCAATTTTCATTAATATTTATATATTAAACACAAATATAAAACATGTAACGTGGAAAAAATAATTAGTTACATCAATACTATAGTTGAATCATTAGTGAAAAAAAACAAACAGTACAAGAACTAAAAAGGTTATTTTTGAAATTAACAGATTCATTATTTTGAAAGGACCACAAGCGTTCGTCGCTAGAAATTTAAGCCATTCTATTTTTATAAAAAAATGTTAATTTTAGATTTAAATGAAACATAATATTTATACATAGTTAACCGGATATATCCTTTGGCCGAGGGCCCGAGTTGAATTCATAAAAACAATTGTTAGTTCGTTTTCTGTTATTATAAAAAATAGAGATGGTATGTTCTTTACTTAGGGTCATAACAAAAAAAATACTCTACTCTTTGAAGTCGAGGGTAATAATTTAGTTGACTAATGCATAACTCGATTATCAGCCATAGATGCAGCTATTGGTGCCTATATTTTGCTAAAACCGAACTTATTTCATGCAACACATCATTTTGAGGTTGAATTTTCAAACCAGTGGTAAGAATTTTCGTTATTTCCCGTTATAATACAATTAATATTAAAGAATGTAGTTAAAAAATCCTAAGTTATAGTTAATCAATAATGAATAACGTGAACAATTTTTCTTTTACCTTTTTTTTTTTGTAAAAGCGGCCAACCTAAGGATACAAACATGTTTAGAAATAACATTTTACAAATATTTAAAGACTCGCTGTAACAACGAATAAGACAAGCTAACTTATATCTTTTTTAATAAAAAGAAACCCTGATTTTTATCTACCTATACTTATAATAGTATTATTGAAATTTTTACTATTTAGGTATACGTAAAAGAAGTATTATAAAGACTAGCCATTAGGTTAGCAATTAATATTTATTTGAGAATTGTAAATAAAATTATTATTCTTGTTAAAAATGTATTTATTTCTAACCATCATCTTTAAAAAACTTACCATGCTGTTATTTAAATAGATACTACATACTAGGTAATTTTTCAAAATCAGTTTTAATGCACCAGCAAAATAACAAAGTAAATTATTGAATTAAAACCTACTATCGAGAATTAAATTAAAATATGATAACCTTTAGAAATATATAACAATGAATTGATGCGAAATATGAATTTAACAAACGTTATATTGATGTTTGCTAATGATGTATGATGAGCACATTTTTTAATATATATTGTTATAACTTTGTTTACTTAATAAATATTCAAAAAATGTTTGGCAGACTATATTTGACTAATATCTAACATACGTAGGCCATTCATGGTAAACTAATGATTAAAGTAATTTAATTTTGTAATAATATTGCATTAATATTCTTAATTCACTATCCAACAACTATTAGGTGAGTACTCATATCATAATTTTTATTAATATTTGTATATTCCTCAAAATAAACTCATTGAACTGATAGTATGTTCCAATTGTCACTCTAGACTCTTTTTTTAATTAATAATAACTTTAAAATAGGTGTTTTTCTAAAATTAAATATGAAATAATTTAAGTGTTTATACTTTATGGTTTAACTTACTCTGGCAACGATAGTCTCCTTTCCATTTTTGGAAAAGGCATAACGTGGATAATGCATGACACTTGTGTAATCGTACGGTAGACCATATGTAGTAGTATAGTTATCCGCGACTTTATTAAAATCTGACCAATATGCTGCAAAAAAAATATTTAAGTTAATTAACCGTTTTGAAAATAACGCAATACAATACACTGTGACTAATAATGGCAAAATACAATATTTTATATTTTTCTTTTAATTAAAAAGCTGATTTGAGCTCAAATTTTATTTTTAAAAAAACTGATTTGTAAACATCTAAATTGGATGTGATAAATTACATTTATCGATACATTTCGATTGTAATCGGTGAATAATACAAGATATTTTAAAATACTGGCAGTAAAAAAACTTTAGCTCAAGTCAAAATTGATACAAAAATTAATTTTAGTATTTAAGACTGAAATAATTACTTTTATCTATATTTTCCCAATAAATAACCACAGCATTGTCGCGGTCATAACGTGACTGTTCGTGGAGCAACCCAGCCACGTGCAGGAGTTCATGCTGAATAGTGCCTTGGGTATTAAGACAAATTGGTGATTCCAGGTTCATCGTATGTGGCTTTCCAAAATTCTGTTGATAACCGATCATCGCGTAACAACCTTTCTTCAGTTCACGTGTGATAGACAAGTAATCGTTATGGGCCAGATTCATTGCTTGCATAGCCTTACCGTCATTCTTATCCACAAACTTCAAACATGTCTTTGACTCGATAGCGTCCATAGCTTTACGGATCTTTGACCGTTCTTCTATCGCTAATAATCATATTCAATCAAATGGTTATTATTATAGCTACTTTTTTAAACGACACTTTTTTAGTTGTTATTTTATATTAGTCTTACAAATAGCTGTAACAACTGTGAATAAATGTGTAAGTCGATTTCAGTGATTTTACAGGGGATCGATTTTAAACTTTGACCAGCTGCCATAAATCAGTATTTTATTTAAAATATTTGATTTTTTTATGATCCTCTTATATTCATAAATACTTTAGAGGTACTCAAGTGGTTTCTTTCGTGTTTAAAATCGCTCCCCTGTAAAATCACTGAAATCGACTTACACCATTATTCACAGTTATTACAGATATGTTGTAGAACTGGTATAGCACTTCGATGGCTAGCTGAGACCTGATCAGATTATAATTTCTCTGAGGCTTTAAAATTGTATCGGTATTCTGAAAGAAATTTAATTAAATATTCCCGCTTAGTGTCAGTCTACAAAACATTTACTAAAGCCTGATCAATAATAGTCTCAAGTATTTTCTCTGAAAATAACTCTGATCAAAAATGCATAGCCAATTAACCGAATGCATTTTTAGAAACCTCTATCCATTGCCACACGCAAGCAAATTGGGTCAAACTATGACGAACACGCCTAACCTTTTTTTTTCCTCCATGCATCCATTGCATTCCGGGGAGGAAGAACACACCTAACCTAACCGTTATGAATATCACGTATGATTGAAGTACACTTAACTAATTAAATTAGAACTTGGATACAGCTTTAAAACTTAAAATACCGCGTCAAATGACTCTTGATGCCTTTAACTTGAAACATGTTTTTTATTCGGTATTCTACAAAATAAACTGTACAGCAGTATGAGATTTGTTAAAGTGACATTAAATACATTTTTTTTCTTTTTTTACTAGTTTCTAAAGAAATCAACCAAAACTTTTAAGTCCATACTATAGTTGTATAATACATTTCTTATATACGTTTGCAAATAATAAACTTCATTCTATCTATAACTAGTTATTTAATATAGTTTTCTCTATTAAATATTTGTTTGTTGAATTATTATTTTATGACACTTATTTCTATATGGTGGTACTCAAGGCTTTTGGACGTTTCCAAAATGTATACATTTATTTATTTCGAATTATCTCAGACATAAGCGTGTTACGAAAATAGTTCAATATGATTCGCAACATGATGAGTATGGTAGTATGGTAGCAACATGAAATGGTCAGACAATGTAACATTTATAGGATTATTATACATTAAATAGTAGTTACAATAAAAGGATGTTATATAAGTCATGTTTTTTTTGACAACCGCTTATTGGGATTTCATAACGCTTCTCACTTAACATAATTTAAACTGCAAATATGAACTTAAATTCGAACATTTTTATATTTTTGTAATTATTAATGAATGAGCCAATATTAAAATATATTTATTTAAAATTTGTGTAATAATAATAATATACTCCTAAGTATATTCCCGTTCATTTTCTATAATCATAGGGTAAAAATTTAACCATTACAACTGGAACCTATTTACATATTGGCTATTATTATTTCGTAAACAAATTTCCTTTCCCAGACAAAATCAGAAATGATTAGTATATTTATATTTATATTAGTTAGGTATAAAAACAATTTAATGGCATGTTAACTAATCAATAGATAGTCGAATACAATATATACATCGAATAGTATCAAACATACATATTATTATCTACCAAGAAAATGTAATAGATGAGTTCAATCTACTTACTAAAATATGGCTGTATCGTGTAAGGAATAACTCCCCATGGCCATTTATAATAATTAGATATAATAGCATTTCTGGTAACGGGCAGCAAAATATCACCTTGATATAAATTTGACTTCAATTCTGGATATGATTCTAGTGAGAAAATAATACAACGATTTAATTCAACAAAAATAAATTGCATGTTTTTAATTTTAATCAATTATACGTTTAGTAATAAATTTTAAAAAATATCATTGCTTGACATAAATTGATTTAGAATAAAATTATAGCTAATAACCAGCGATACACCTATTCGAGGTAATTTGAAGATAATGGGAATAAATAAATGTCCATCCCATTGCCTAGTATTACTACCGTCCAATACTACAATAATACGTCTTTTAACTAGGTATTTCAATATTTTCCATTTTACAATTTTACACTCATCTATCTCCTCTCTCCCTTATCGTTAGTAACTTTTTAATTAAAAATATAGGTAGTATAAAATACCTCTATCCACAGTTTATTACACATCAATTATAAGTCTGACACCAAGAAGTAAAGTTTGATTTTACAAAATCCAACATTGGTATAAAATGTTATAAACTTTTATCTTAATGAAAATCAGGTAAAAATAAAACCTGAAAACACGAGAGAGCATATAATTTATTTTACCCTTTCAATGTTTTTGTTAACATTTTATAATGCCATTTTTGGCGTATGTTTGACACAATGATCTTGACAGTTTACTCGTAAAATACTGATATAATACCATTGCCACCAATCATTGCGATCACCGTTGGTATAAACGTTTATATTATTAATTGATATCATTTAAATAATAAATACAACGTTAGCGTTACTCGAACTAGTCAAACTAACTACAAAACGGTATACCTAGCTCATTTATACGAAAAATTTACTATGATCGTTTTGCCCGCAACTCTTCATGTTTATTATCATTAAGTTTGGAAACCTTTTATAGTTGTTCTTACGATTTACTAGGTACATAGACATGGGATAACTGGTCGCTATTTATTCGTCTCGTTGATAGCGATCTTCCTGGATCTTCCGGTACGTAGATTATAAACGTATTATAAACTACGGAATATTGACATTTGAGCTTAGCCTATTCAATTTTCTTCTAATTGCGCCATGTGTGCCGCGCAATTTTATTACATGTTACACTTTACAATAGGTAAACGGCGTGTAATGAAAATATAACACCTGTAAAACAACGTGATATAGCATCGGGGCTGCTACAAAAAGTCTTGATGTATTAGGATGTCAATCATATGAAAAATATTGACTCAGAAAACTTATGTAGAAACGGCTAGTAAAAAGCGAGTAAAGAAAAATGATTTATGTTTTTATTTTCATATTATCATAGCATTTACCTGGGGTAAAATATGACGGCTTAGAGCTTTCCTTGAACTTCTCGTAAAACACTCCTAAAAACTTGCCCTCTGGACGAGCCTCGCAAAAACTCAACAACCATAAGGCTGCGTGAAAGGACAACGTAAGACCAATCATCGTGTAATGCAAATACAGACTTAGACGTATATTTTTCATAGGGAAATGCTTTGTGCGCAGTTAGGTAAGTGTTAATTTATCTTCTTCTTTTATGCTGCCGAATGTCGACCAGTGCCCTATTTTGGTTCCATTTAATTGTGCAAATATTCTATTTTATTCCGCTGATACGGACGAATGCATAACAATGCAGATAATAATCACATTATTCATTTAATATATAAATGGACGTGGATTGCTTTACCCTTGTTGAATAAATTATAACTAAGTGCCACAAAATAGTACTTATATTATTTACGACACTCACTTTAAAAATGTATATCAATAAATAATTAACACTTGTTCTACTAATGATATACCCAATGACCCTCATGTTATTCCACTTATTTTATTTTAAATTAAAAAAAAAACACATTTTATTTTCTCACGATCATACTGATTTCTTTGGATATTGTGTCACATTAACAGCTTATATTACCTATTGCATCTCCCATTACACTACTACAGATTACAATGGTATAAGTTAAAAAAAAAAAAATCTGTATCGTGAAATAAAAGTTGTATCTTTTGTTGGAAAATCTATAGGTAGCTGCCGGTACCCAAGAAAATTAAATTATATACATTTTGTCCCTCATACTATTTAATATGCAAGTTGATTATATGTAAACCTGTATGAAGTCAATTCAAAGTTGCTCACAAATAATATATTTCAAAAAAACAAGACAATAATAATCATAGACATTTTTTTTTATTTGTTAACATTAAATAACTTTTTTGAAATATTATTAGTTAATAATAATTGTTGTTTAGTTCAATATAATATGCAGAGAGAGAGAAGACAAAATACGAATTTTCAATCATCATTAGTAATAAAAAAAAATAATTTGTAATTAATGTGTAGTGTTCTAACTCCTATTTGTAAGATTTATGAGAAACTTTTTATTTTTTTTTTTAAACATTTACAATCTGTACATAAAAAAAAGTATACAATAAGCAAATATGTTAGCAATGTAAATATGTGACTTGAAGATTTTGGGTAGGGAAACTATCCAGCGATAGGACCCTATGACATGTTTCGGCTAGAAATTGAACGGTAGCATTACAATTTAGGAGGTCTCGACATCAACGTCTAATGAGAAACTTAAATTAACTTTTAATCTATTTGCGTTAATAGCAATTGGTATAAATAAAGGAGTAAGTGTTACTATTGTAATAATACATCTTATCGCTGAAAAAAAGAAAACTATTTTGGATGAAAGGGTAGTTCAAAAAAACAATTTTCCCTGATTATAATTTATAATCTCCTTGAAGTATTAATTGCTGTCATCGACATCGGATCATAAAAACTTTGTATGGACCATGCGATACTTTTTAGTTAGGTATGACTTATAAAGGGTAGTTACGCCAATTACCTACCTATAATCTTAACGTGTTGTTTTTTTTCTGGTACCTAGTATTTTCGTCAGCATTCGAATAGATTATTTTTAGTTTTTCCGTTAATTAGTATATTGCAGCTGGCTTTGATATCGTATTCTTGTAAATCTCACTTTTCAGCGAGATGGTAAACTTTATAATAGTAATTTTCATTATTTAATTTTATGAGAGACATTTTGTACTATAATATTAGGTACCGTTACTAACCACTTTTTGACTGACACAACGAACACGGTCAGCCTTGAACGTCATCTTGACTGATGTAAAACATTTAAACAAGTTTGAAATTTATCAAATTACAGAAAATTGACTGTAAATTATTAACATTTATATTTCATATTACATATATAGTCAGTTTTCATTGTCAATCCTCAAGACTAATAGCTAATCGTATATGGCCGGCTTGAGACGTGATTGGCAGCATATATTATAGTAGAGCGACGGTGGCAGTCAGTGCAGACGTAAGACGTTTACATTTTGTCTCGCTACTCAGTTATTAAATAATAACTTCAAATTTACCAATAAATTGTATTGTTACTTAACTCGGAGTAATAAACTACTATTTATAATATAGCATAGGATAAGCGTATGCTACCTCTAACGTCTTCGTTTCTTATTCTATCTTCTTTCGTCACTCCACTCATCCACTTAAGCATTATCATCTTCGCTACTGGCTACATTCATTTTCTGTTGTATTTTCCTGTCTACCGTCCAACGCTCCGTACCATACAACATAGTCGATCTCACCACCCTCCTGTAGAACTTACTTATTATAACCGTAGATTAAATATACAGTAGTGGTACAAGTAGTATACTTAATCTAAGTTATAACTTACGAGGAAATACAAAATAAGTCGATAATATTCATTTTTTATTTCTCAATACAAACCACATTAGTTGAGTACAAAAAATTAACGACAATTATTGAAAAAACTCAACTTCTGCTCAGTTTTAATATGTTAAACAAGAATAATATAAAACAATGTAACATAAAGTCTATGAGCGTTTCGATCTTTTATGACTTTCAGAATGCTTGGATTTCTTTTTTTTGTTTTTTTTTACTTGATTTTGTATCTTTATTTTTAGTTTCGTAGTGATTAGACCGGGATCTAGACCTATGCGATTTTGAACTAGATCTACGAGATCTAGACCCATGAGAGCTAGGCTCACGAGATCTTGAACTATGAGTAACTTTATGACTCCTGGAACGTTTTGTCTTTTTATTATGTTTATGTTTTGTATGAATAGATTCTGAATATGCATTGCAATTTTTATTGCAAGGTAACGCCAATTCCAATGATTCATTATGACTCATAGATTGATTATCTTTTTTTTTTGAATCAGACCATTCCGAATAAAACTTATACCTGGAATCTTCTTTTTTGTGTTGATTTGAAATTGAACTACTGATTGACCTTCTATGTAATATAGTTTGACTAGTTGATATTTCTTTTGAATTTTTTTCACTAGAACTAGCAGGGGTAAAGGAATCGTTACTTTTATTTTTTAAATAATCAAACAATTTTGATTCTTCTTTTTCGATAGTAATCCAACGAGTGTACGGATTTCCAGAAAAGAATTTACTTCCTTCATATTTATAATGTACTCGATCGCTGTTGGTTGGTTCTACGTTAGTCTCTTGCCAGTTCCCACAGTTTGTCTGCTGATCCTCGTGACATGTCATACTATTGATTTGTCCGTCGATGACTTCTTTTAAAACCTAAATAAAATATAAGTACTTGTATTATATCTAAACAATTAACTTCAATGTTTATTTCAGATTTGATGTATCAAGAAGGTATTATTTATAATTTTAGAGTGCTATTACAGTAATTTATTTTATAAGACTGATAAAATTAAAAACAGACTAGTAATAAAATATCGGTGTTTGCTTGTGTCGATAAGAAGACATAAAAGATAGACGGAAACAATATTCTATTGAGTTTGTTGAACAAAAAGTTTCCAAAAGAATTACAAGAAGTGGAAAGTTAGTAAATTAAATTAAGGAATAGGAAAAGCAAAAGTGGTAAATGTAATAGAAAGTGGTGTCTATCAGTCTATGGTTTGTGGATGATGTAGTTTTATTAAATAAGAGTACATATTGTTAGGAAACAAATTAGAGAAATGGGGGGAAGTTTCTTCTTCTTCTTTTAAAAGGAACGAATGTGAAATAGTAAAAAATGTTAAAGAGATCAAGATAGACCTAAGTTGTAATAAATGAAGACATGAAGGTGTACGGAGTTAATAAAGAAATTGCTGGCGAGGAATAGAGATTTAAGGAGAGAGTAAATTTGGTTCGCATCATTTGTAGGATAAGGCAAAGAAGACAACGATAAATAAAATTCCTACTCTGTTTTGTTATAATTATTTTAAATAATATTAAGTTAAAATAACGAAAAATAAAATATAAATATCTTGTGTTAATATAATACCAATAAATATTTAAATGTGGTATATCTACAAATCATAGTATAAAACAAAGGGTAAATTACTATTAAATGTTTTTAACAACAGATTACCAGACAATTCTAAATATAACCTACTGGAAATCAGCAGAGGTTTCCAAAAATGTGTACACTGGTTATCAGCAGTGGTTACACTCTGGTATAAAACATGTATATATGTTTTAGATATATTCAGAGATATTTTTTTAAAGTTTTGATGAGTAACAACATTATAGCTATTTGAAAAAAGTCAGTTTTTGTTCATAAATGTATTAAAATGTAAAAGTGTGGTATCCTCATAAATTTGGTGTTCGTTTTATTAAATAATACGAGTTTTCTCTAAACTATTATGGACTGTGCAAAACACATTATGTATAGCTATGTAGCTTAAATTATTTTCTAGTCCCATATACATCTCATAATTAATAATTTAAAAGAGTCAAAATATATTATCAAATTAATTAATTACTTTCAGAGAAAATAAATTAATCATCGAACAATATATTTTTTTTTCCAATTTAATTTTCAACGTTTATGACCCTCCAAATAAGCAGAGCTTTTGTGAAAAGTGGATAACATCTGCTTTGTAGTGAAGTAGGAATCGAGCCAGATATTTATAGTACCAAATTTGACTGCCTTATACACCCCCCTACACACATTAATCTCTTATTAAGTTATAATTGTTACTTCTAAGTATGATTTGCGATCAGTGTGAACCCGTTTTCCTCGATAAGCTACTCTTCTACGTTTGGCATCTCTTTGTTCTTGCAACAACTCAAGCTCTGTTTTTGTCTTTTCATTGTCCGTCTTATTAAATGTATCACTGCTGAAAAATTAAATAAAACAAATTTTTCTTATAGAAATACACAAAAAGATGGTAAATTACATTTATAGACATTTACTTATGTAAGACATTATCTGCAATATTACAATTTGGGCCCTTTGTATTCTGCACTGCATAATCATACAATACTCTACGCTCGTCCGGTGTGAAATCACAAACATAGCGCTCTATACTTTGAGATATACCCCTAAACTCTGATTTTACATCTAAAATAAAAATATACAAATATTTAAATATAACTTTAAAACTACTAGAATATAAAAATCAAAATATAATCTATAATCAAAATATTAAAAGGATACATTGGTGTAAACTTAAACTAAAATAAAAGGATATAGTATACATTTTTTGTCAAACGCATGAGAGAAATTATTTCAATATTTCATGACACTCACTTATTTGTATCTGAAAAATGATACAGGTGAAAAATGATAAGACTATAATACTCAACCATTTTTAATAATAACTATACCTACCCAATGTAAAATTGGACTCAATCTGAGACTTATTAATAATTTCCATTTGAGTTGATTCATCTGCAATCAATAAATGTTAGAACAATTAACATTTTATGCTATTTTATTATAGTTTCATTGTGGAGCTGAGACAGTATTGTTTTTACAATAATGTTTTTTTTTTTTTGTGAACCTATGATATCTTTTAAACCGCTGAACCAATTTCTTTATGTAGCAATTCTATAAGTTAGAAATCGTACCTAAGAGGTACTTTATTGGCCAAAAATATAAAAAAAGTTCACTCATTCCTCTTCAAAATCAACACCCAAAAGATATTTTTCAACTTAAAATTACAGTGCTATTTAACTTTTTTTAAATAATCGAATAAGTTTTAAATTTGTATGGAATATTTTTTAGATACAATACTATTGATATTTATATATTAATAAACAAAACAAAATATAAACTTTACTCATGAATGAAGTGGTGGGAAGTTTTTGTTCAGATTAAAGATACATCTATAGTATATAAAATTTTCTTGAAAACCTTAAATTATGCTTTTTTATGTGTTGTTTTAGGACTTAAGGTCTAAAATTAGATTGATGATTACAAATTTCTTAAAGATGTGTAGTCAACTTATTTTTTCAATAAAGAGAAACCAAAGAAAAATGGGAAATTACACGCTGACTGTAGTAAATGTCTAGGTGAGAGTGAATTAACAGTCAACTAAAAAAGAGTTTCATTGTGTTGTCAATTATACATAGACAGACAGTTCAATTCTAATCCTTCCACCCTAATACTAAAATAACAATTTTAAGCATATATTGTCATTACAATGCCTTTATCAATATTTGTATTTCTACTATGTATGATGTTTTTATTTGGTGTTTAAGTGATTTCATCACTTTCAGTTATAATAATTCCAGTATACCAATAACCTCCTCTGCCACAATACGCTCTGAACCCACAGTAGTGGCTTTTTTAATTTAAAAAGCATATTTAACAGATTTTATACAATTAATAACCCCAAAACCTCTACATGTTTGTATAACTAATTCAAGTAAAATAACAAAAATTACATAATTTTTTATTTAGGAAATTATAAAAAATGCCAAATATATAACCGTCTAAACCCAGTTTGGAGGGAGTATATAGTATAAAACATGAAAAAAAAGGATTTATTGAATATAAAATAATATCAAAATTTAAATTTAATATAAAGCACAATGGGGTCGGGACATAGTTGTAACATTGAGGTGTCAGGTGGCTATAAGGTGGATCATAAGTTTTCAGGAATAGTTGGGTATAACGGAAATTATTATCAGATTCCAAATGAATTACAAATATCTATAAAAGCATTGTAAATAAAACAATGTACTAATTGTAAATCCCCTTAATGTAATTCCCTTAATCCCAATATTACTCGAAAAAAAATATTCCACCCCTTCTAAGAGAAAGAGATTTTTATATTTATTAGTCAACAAATATATTGGTACTAATGATTTTTCCATAAAAATTTGAAACTAATTGCCACTTGTATAAAATGTAATAAGCCAAATGTTCATGAGCTGGTGGTTTCAGGTATAATAAATACAAATTAAATGTATTTTACCCATTTTAATAGTTTGAGTGTCTGGTACTGAACAGCCAAGCTCAGGGTACAGTAAATCTGTTTTGTTATAACCTTGTTGTTTAAATTTGCATAATTCCAAATGAGAGTCAATCTTTAATGATGGTATTTTATGTTCACTATTTATTGGACATTCCACCATTGAATCAGCCTAAAAAAAAATGTATAAATATTCATATAATATTCATTTTTTTATAGTGACAAATGAAAAAAATTAGGAATAATGATTACAGTTGTCGGTGTATCCTTCCATGACCATCCTATGGTATCCATAATATTTTGCATGATTTTATAACGGTCAGCCAAATTATCTTTAAACTGCTTTAATGTAGCTAGCCTACGCTGGAGTTCTGCTGGATCCATTTTACTTAACACACGCAATCTCAATAGTGACAATATTACACCTATATTTTATAACTACACAAATTAAGAAAATAATTTTTAAAAAATTGTATAAACTATAATATCTAGTCGATAGTTTTTTAATTTTACACTCATATTAAAACAGAATTAAATTACAATATAATAAAGAAATATTACAGTGTTATGATAATAATTGATAGGTATTTCAGTTTTCACTAAAAACATTATAATTTATAGTTGATAAAATTGTGATAGTATTATCACTTAATGAGTTATTATCAAATGGAAATCAAATTTCCCGCTTTTCGATAACAACACAACCTCACGAGAACTGCTGCTGTTGAGGGTTGCCACTTACCAGTTGCCGGTTGCCCGTTTATATTGTTCATATTTATTTATGTAGCACATTTATTTATGTATACATTATTTTATTAAACTAAAAAAACCGATAAATATGGAGACTATGGAAGTAGATTCTAGATCAGAAAATGATACTGTCAGCGAAAATGACCCAATGGAAGGTTCTTCAGGTACAAATGGAACAACTGAGCCATCCAAAGAAAAAAGAAAAAGTGATTTCAACATGCCATGGTAAGTTTTTGTAAATTATATTATTCAAATTAATTTATTGGTTTGTTCATTACAGGATAGAAAAGTATCGACCCAAAACATTCATGGACATTGTTGGAAATCAAGAGACTGTGTTACGACTAGAAAAATTTTCCACTTGTGGAAATGTACCTAACATAATTATTGCTGTACGTAAAGCAAACTTTACCTAAAATAAAAAATAATTATCATAATAGACTTGAATGTGTAGCTCAGATTATTGTTATTAGTTTCTAGTTATTGCATTTGGCTTAATTTGGTGTACAGCTTATAAATGCGTATTAAATATACAACAGAGACTGATAATTGATTAAGGCTATTGGGTACCGGCCAATTTTTCCATCAAAAACTACCCATTTAACTTCAATCGGTCTGATTGTTGTATTGAAGCGATAAGACTTCTGAAAACAGATTTGAATTCGGCATGAAGTCTACTTGAGATCGGTTGGAGTATTTTTTCAATTTTTAATTTTAACCCTTTTCAAATTTGATTTTTAAATTGGAATTTTATGTAATGTATTTTTTACATAGTTGGAATAAGTTATCAAAAAAGTACTCTGACCAACGTCAAGTAGACTTCATGGCGAATTCAAATCTATTTTCAGCTTACTTTTTGGATCACTGGTTCAGCCTGTGCGATGGAACAAAAAATGTATATTATATTATCTAAAATGCCTTTACTCATAGACAAAATTATTTAAATTAAAAATAATACCATGAAGCTTATACAAATTAACCGGTAAATTAATTGACATGGTCAAAATTAATTAAACTACTTTTTTCTTAAATATTACCTATACAAAACTCTTTAAAAATTGGCCAGTGCCCAATAGCCTTAATGTAGTTAAGTTAATTTTATAAAAGTATTGGTTTTATGTATAGTATATTTTATTTTAACAAAATATTTAATTATTAGAATGATACTAATGACTTGTAAATTAGGTAGGTATTTATATAAAATTAAAGATTTATTTTTAGGAACATCAGCACCAGGCAGAATGTTTTACTGGAAAATGGTACTTTTCTTTTAAAATAAAAAAGACTTTAAAAGTGATAAAATAACATTTACTAATCAAACAAACACCTGTACATTGAAAAGAATTTAGAAAATTAAAAAAATAAATATTATGAATTTGTTTAACCTTTCAACATACATACACTCTTTTCAATAGCTATTTGATGTTGTATATTTTACAATAGTGCGCCTGCTGGAAGGATAAGGCTTTCATAAATTTAAATATTATAAGCATTTTTATTTATAAATTAACATTTTTTTAAAAAATTTTTTAGGGTCCTCCGGGTGTTGGCAAAACTACAACTATATTAGCTCTCGCACGGATACTTTTGGGTAAATCCTTTAAAGAAGGTGTACTTGAATTAAATGCATCAAATGACCGTGGGATAGATACTGTAAGAAACAAAATCAAAATGTTTGCACAGCAAAAGGTCACATTGCCACCGGGAAGACATAAAATCATTATTTTAGATGAAGCAGATAGGTAGTTGTTTTGAACAATAACTATAAGAGGATAGATGAGTATTAAAAATAAAAAGCATATGGTAAAGTCGTAAGAGTACATACAGTATACAGCTTACAACTACACAATTAAAATAAAAGAGCCATTAACTCAATACCACTTTTACTAGTGTGGGGTAAAAATTTACCCCAATATAATATATCTGTTAAAATATATAATAAATTTGGGTATCCAGAAATTATTTTTAATAGAATATTTGTATACACAACAAACCTGTCAACATAAAAAGTTTTTCATTTCATAGTTAAAAATATATGTTCTTGATTTTTATTTTAGTAACCCACCCCGAAAAATATTTCTGTTTGCACTGCTGGCTTAAATAGTCACATTTTAAATCTTGCATATTTACATGAAATATATATGTAAAAATATTATGTTTATTTATAATTAGTATGACTGATGGAGCTCAACAAGCTCTTAGACGTACAATGGAATTGTGGAGTAATACAACCAGATTTGCTCTCGCCTGCAATAACAGTGATAAGATTATCGAAGCTATTCAATCACGTTGTGCTATGTTGCGATATGGAAAACTTTCCGACCAAGAAATAATGACTCAAATAGTAAAAGTTTGCCAAGCAGAAGAGGTTATTTTTTTTAATTACCTGATAGGCAAGAGCACAAGTGTATGTATTTAACTTGCATATTTTATTAGGTTTCTTACAGCGCAGATGGCTTGGAAGCTGTTGTATTCACAGCTCAAGGAGATATGCGTCAGGCATTGAATAATTTACAATCTACTTGGAATGGTTTTCGACATGTCGATAGCGCTAATGTCTTTAAAGTTTGTGATGAACCACATCCATTACTTGTCAAAGAAATGTTACTGGAATGTGTAGATAAAAATATTTCCAAAGCATATAAAGTACTTGCTTTTAAAATGATGTGTTTACAATTTGACTTACCAATTGTTACATTAATTGTATTTTTATTTATACCTAAACAGATTATGGCTCATTTATGGCGACTGGGATACGCACCAGAAGATATCATAACAAATATTTTTAGAGTAACCAAACATTTAGAAATTAAAGAGTCTTTAAAATTAAAATTTGTTCAGGTAAATTCTAGAGGAATATTTATTCTAAAATATATATTCATGCTTTCATACACAATATTTTTTAAAATATTTAAAATTTCATTTAACACTTTGGAATCGAAGCTTTTTCCAGAAAAAACAAATCATTTGTTAGACGTGTAATTCCTCTTTAGTCGTTAAACAGTCTTCAGTTGCAGATTGTGTACATTGTATATTTAACAAATAACAATAATAAAAATAGATGTTTATAGCTTAGACTTGATAATAATATGGACCGTGCATATCAGCCACCAACAATGTATTAAGATGAATCAAACATTACATATTATAATATAAGAGAGAGATATAGCTAGTTTGGGCAAAATGATAAGATTTAAAAACATGTCCAAATTACCTTTGTCTCTCTATGCGATGCTGAGCCACAATTAGTCAGAAAATCTCAGCAGTGTTTATTACTCTATTTCTACATTGATTAAATTGTATGAATTTTTTGGCATATAAAGAAAGTACTTTAATTCTTATGTATTATAATATGTATAGTTATTTAATTTTCATATTTTTGGTAGGGGATGTAATTGCACATAGGCTTGAACCACTAGTACCAGTCTTAACAATCTGTAAATAGCATTTACGTCAAGTTGTATAGCCATGATACTATTACACAAAATCAATAATCATATTGTACAATCAATTAAAAAATTGTTATTTATACCAATATGATAAAAAAAACAATGATTTTAACAAAAATATTGTTTTTGCTCTTTAGCTTGTATACGTCAGTCAATACATGTTATTTATTAATATTAGCTGAATTAGTCTATACAATAACTAATGAATAAAATTTATATTTACAGGAAATTGGCAAGGTACATATAAGAATTGTTGAAGGAATGAATTCATTATTACAGTTATCGGGATTATTGGCCAAGTTATGCACAGTTGCTTCTAAATCAGAAAATGAGAATTAAATACAATTATAATTATACCTTTTAGCATATAAGTGATTTAAAATTAAATAATATTTTACTACTAGCCAACATAATTTTGAATTATTTATTAAAATATGGTATTTTAAAACCATAAAAATTTTGAAAATCAAATATTAAACTTCCAAGTATAAATTGTTTAATACTCTTATCTGCATTACAAACATATATTTTATATTAAATTATCATTTATTTTTGCTGTTGTTTTTCCGTAGAAAAAATTAAACCATATTAAAATTGAAAAAATATACTATTATTTGCGTAAAGAGGTGTAAAGCTTCCCTTGGATATAAGCTATTATGTCCAAAAGCTTCATACGAATATTTTGATAATTAAACTAAGATAGTTTTGTAAAAAAAATTAAATGTCGTATATTCATGTTAGAAAAAATATAAAAACAAAACATTAGCATTCCAATATATCAGTTGTTAACTTTTTTAATTTCTTCACTTTATTAGAAAAAAATAAATTAATAATTAATCAATTTTTACATTTACTTGAATTGATTCAAACAGTTGGAAACTATAAATGTAGTCATACCGATTTGATTTTTAAAACAATGAGTAAAAAACTTAAATTTCTTATACTTTTTTAAATATAACTTTATTTTTGTTTTAAAGAAATAAAATAATTAATTAATAATTTATGCATTGTTTGAATTAGGATAAATGTTTTTAAATTATTGGTATAATTTAAATCATTAATCTGACAACTGAAAATTGATATTATGCCTGTACGTTTAACTTATAAAGGAAAAGGGGTAATCCCAATTTGTGCCTATTAAGTGTTGCTTATATAAATTGTTCATTTCACAATTTTAATTTAAAACATAAGGCTATAAGCTATAAGCAAATATATATATATAGCTTAGTGTTACTTTTTTGGTAATAATTACCCACAAGTGTGTTCTATTCTAGATGTTGAAAAAATTAAACCTGCTCAATTTGAATGTGTGCTTTTAATCTTTTTATTTAAAAACTTTAAATAAATCATATACTCTTGGTTGTTTACTTGAAAGGTTAGAAAAATATTTTCCAAAATAATATCTTAGAAAAATATTCTAATATAGTAATATATTAATGTAATAGAAATAAGGATAACACAATCGTGCTTTAATAAATTAATTTCTTGTAAAAACTAAACAAAAATATATTTTCCTTATTTAAGCTTACATTTAAATTAATGAGAACACGTTAAAGAATGTCTTAATGAATATTAATAAATAAAATTATACATTTTATTAATATATTAATAAAATATATTAACTCAAAACTTCAGATTTTCACAAATGTCATTAATATGAAAAATTTGCAGGTATTAATTTATTTAAAAAAACTGTATCATTCAAATTTGCAATATTTCGATATCCACTATTAAAACTTTCTTCTAAAACAGTTTTATATGGTGATAGCTGATGTTTATATGATAAACATATATTCATCAGCATTAAATGGTTGAGCAATAAGGTTAATTTGGATGGTATCAGATCACTAGCGGTATTATCAACACGCTTTATTGTCGGTGTAGGATTTAAATGGGTAGAAGGAATTATTGGATAATTTGGATCAGTCTTAATTTCTCTTTGCAAATCTCTTGCCAAATGTGTACTCCAACTTAATGGATCGGTTTTCAATTGCATAGCTGCTGTTGCAGTAACTACCGTTATAACTGTAGACATAGCAATCATTTGTTTAATTTTCTGACGCAAAACCTTCTTTCGATATAACTGAAAATAAAACAAATACTATGAGAAAATACTAATATAAGATATATTGATTCACAAACCTTTCTTATAGTCTGTGTAACTTTTGAAATCAACAGGAACATTTTAATGAGAATAGAATTTGATTTTTTTATATCACTGTATAATTCAAAAATTATTTCATTGTACTTTTTAGAATATTCCTCTTCGCTTATGTAAAACTCCCAATTCTATTATTAAACACAATAAATGTATATTAGACAAAACATAAACAGTTATAATAATTATATTTAAGCATATACCATTGCAGATAAATATTCTTTTTCCATTTGGTTAATATCCTTAAGGCTTATACCATATGCTGTAGCCCATTCACTATTAATTGCCGAATCTAATTCACCATCATCATGTAAATATTTACTTGCCACTAGCTATAAAACATATTAACAAACATTTGTTAACATACAACTTGTATATAAATTGAAGGGCACAGGGGAAAAACGGTAGTAGTCACATTATGAAAATTTTTTTTTCGATTTATGCCATTATTATTTTTTATTTATGTTAATAGATTGTTTAAATAAATACATTTATTATTAGAATAGGATTTAATGTGATTTTTTTGTTCTTGTGTTAAAGGGAGAGGAATTCTCAAACTTTGTTTTTGCTATACTCTAAAATTTCATAATGTGACAACTACTGTTTTTCTCCTGTGCCCTTCAATTGCTAACAACAAAATTGACTTACTAATGATATAAGGAATAATTCAGACGAATTTATTGATCTCAAGTATGTTGGATTAGACACTTTCAATCTTTCAAAATACATAATAGCCAATACGAATGAACATGTGTAAACAAAAGGTGACTCATCTTCTCCATCAGTATAATATTCAAACTCTTCAAATTTACTTATCAAATTCCCAGTTTTAAGTTCTTTTGCTAATTCTGTAAAAAAAAAATAAATCAAAATTAAATTGAGATTGTGAATTTATATATATATATATATATATATATATATATATATGGAAATTTAACAATTTACAATTGAGGAGGGTATAGGAGAATCAATTTTGTCAGAAAGGAGGTTTGTCAAGAATGAGATATCACCTGTCTATGGTTCGCTAAACTTGAAAAGTCAAGTGAATTAGTACAGGAAAGTTAATAATACATTTAAAATATAGGTTTTGGTCAGAAGAATTAATATTAAGAAGCAAGTGAATTTCTAACATCATAAACTTTAAAAAAAATGTAACTAGAGAGATTAGAACAGGAGACAGAAAAATGTTTAGGAGAGAAAAAGAAGAAAAAAAATGAACAAAACAAGTCTACACTAAAGAAAAGAATTTGAGAACAAATTGGCTGCAATAAAGGGAATAGAACTGGTAGTCACCAAACATATTAAATTAAAACTATGTAACGGAGCAACACACCACACGGCCGTACCGAACAGTAAACACAACGACAGAAAACCAGTAACAAAAAATCGACCAATGGGATTGCGGGGTTTTTATGAGAACAGCATAAATACCGACCGCAATCCCATAATCAGTACAGTCTTCTTCCAACCATCCAGGTATCTTATACACTGGATCAATTGGAAGCCGACACCTATACTATCAACCGCCAGCGTCTACCAGCAGTAGCAAGCGACACCAGCAGTAACCACAGCGACCCCAGCAGCAGCGGAACCGACAGAAGCGGCACCCGCAGCAGACGTGCCGACAGCTCTCACGGCTCCACTGACGATTCCACATCGAAGGCCGGACGGCCTTCTTAAAATACAGAGTCACTTATTAAAGTTGCGCTCTCCTCCCGGTGACTAGAGTCCGTAGGCGCTTATTCAAGCTGCCCTACCTTCCTCCTAGTCACCCCAACACATCCCCCACACTTCTGTATCCCCGGTAGGACAATATAGTACTATAACTGTGAGGTACATAGTGCCCGTTTCCCCAGCGTGAGAGGCGAACTTATGCGAGTCCCGCCCTCACCGTTACTTATTGTATTACCTAAAACCTCTGAATAATAAAAAACAACCGTAATATCAAGCATCCGTTTTATTATTCAACACACGACACGGCGAGGCACCCGCCACCCGTATCAACTATTGGTCAAAGAACATAATATATTAAAACATAAGTTATCAAATTGTATAACATTTTTTTATTTAATTACAGGAATAATACCTTTTAATATATTGACACAAAATAATTTAATATAGTATCATTAAAATTTAAAACAGTTTTCAACTGATAAAAATCCAACAGGTGTATACGTTTCTCATTGTTCTTTTTGTATTAACAAAAATAGTTTAAATTTACTACATAATAATTATAAACTACTTAAGTACATTTTCTATATTTATTCATGGAAAAAACTTTATTAAAATAATTATTCTGTTAATTATATAAATGGAAAGTGTTAAAACAAATGAGTTTAAAGTAAATTTATTATGCTGAACAAAAAAAAAACTTAAGCTCTTTGTTTAGCCAGCCAAAGTGTTGTTTTTTATTTTTGAGTAGATAAGGAAACATGCTACATTTGTAATAAGGACCAATATGCTGAAGGAGTTATATGCACAACTTATGAAATTGCATAAATAAAATAATTACAAAACAAATTAACTTGCATAGGTCAACTGTTCAATGCTATATTAACAACTAAAAGGAAAGTTAATTATAAAAAATGATGGAAAAAATTATTATTGTCCGGAAACTCATAATCAAAACATAGAACACTGAGACCCCTCTTTGGTTAGGTTTGGTGCTTTTATAACCTTAATTAGAGTTTATACCCATTGATCAGCATAATACAAGTTCATTAATTGCATTGCTAAGACTTAAGTTATTAATAAATATACACAGTTCTTTCACTTGTATAAATTCATAATGTACTTGTAAGCTACATTTACAGATATTAAGGCAGCTAGAATTAATTTTTAATAACGTTAGTTTACCTTTAAAAACTAACATTTTAATTTGATGGAACAAAAAAAATGAGAATCCCCCTAAAGCCTAGTCTAAAAAGTAAAAACTTAAATAGCACTGTGTTATAAAAATAAGATGATAGCATGACCCTGGCCTAAATATATTAATGACTGCTCTATTCTATTACTTTTTTCTAATACCAAAAAAACTATAAATTTAAATAATTTATACTCCAACAATAGATACTTGGGGAATAATAAAATAACAAGGCTGATACAAGAATTTTGATACATTAAAATATAAGTTCAACATACCTGATAGCGGAAGACGTCCCAAACTAGTATTCAGTGGAAATGTATTAAAATTTTCACAACAAAAGGCCTTATTTAGTTTTGACAAAAACATGTCATGGTCTTGATCTTTTTCTAATATCTAAAAACAATAAAATAATAAAACTTACTGTTGCACTTATTTGTATAACAAATATTACCTTTGAATTTGGAATTTTTATTCTATTACGATTTTTTAAACATAATTTTGAAGATGTCATTGTCGTTATTCCTAATATGGCTTTTGAAATCAGATTTACCTACAAGTACTGTTTTATCAATATAAGTCAAAACATCCCAATAATTAAAAAAAACAAATCTTTTCTAACGTGTTGTGTTGTGAACAGTAAAAAAAAAAGTGGTTTAGGCATCTGATAATATATGCACTATCTATAGGTGACTACATAGTCATTAGTCAATGATAATATTAATATTACGAAAGGTGATTACACTGTATTTTGTACACGGCTATCACGTCACTGCTGCTCACGTGTGACGTCACGTAAGAACTATTAAGTATAAGCAACCCAATAATACGTAAGCAAAGTGAAATATTATTTTATTTTTTATTTTAAAAAATAGTTATTTGAATGGCAAGTTATTAACTGGTAAGATTTTGATTTGCATCATTATTACAGACACCAGAGTGCAGTCTGCACAATGCGCACACGAGTCGCGTCTCAATCATCATAGATTATAGACATTTTTCATTTGATACAACAATAGTGCGTGCGAAAGTGCAGGTTATTCCATTAATTTGTAGATTTGACACATGAACATTTTACTTCTTGGCATAACTACTCCTTAAGTTATTAACACCAACATTAACTCGCTATCTATCCATGTGAGAACTCGAAGTTATTTTCTAAGGTTTAAGATGCATAGGCTAAAAACAAAAACACTTCCTTTCAGTCTTCCCACTCTTAACACTTGCAAATCTTCTTGAATTACAAAATCTAACTTTTTTTTTTGAACTAGGACTTTGCGGTTTTTCTATTTTAGAGCACTTTTTTTTTTTTTTGCTTTTGTCATTATAATTATTCGTAATCGGTACCTATTTTAAGCACTGGATTCTCCATTCTTCAATGAAACCGCCAACGCTCACTATAGACAAATAATTAAATAAGCAGCATTAACTCCCAGTAATTCCAATAAATATACTAAATTGATTTCCAAATACATCCAAGTCGTTGTTATTGCTTACTGCTTAGTATAGATCATGATTTAAATATACTAGGTTATTGTATTTCTACCCCTTCTTCACCGAAATTTTCGACGATAAAAATAAAACGGCAGCGTAAGGGTTAGCCAAAAAGAGTTATTGAGATTTATAAAGGAATCGGGACTATTCAACTTAGAAGGTTATTAACTAAGCAGGACATGGGCATGACAAACTATGTGAAACAGGACTTCGGTGAGAGGGTGTGCACAATGGACTTGTAGGTCTGAGTGCATGGGCCCATTCTGGGCCCACCCATTAACCAACTAAAACTAATGGTTAGCCAATCAAATTAATTTATTTTATAAAGGTATTATTTATAAATTTATCAAAAACAATGATGTACCCTTACGCTGCCATTTTATGAATTGATAATTTAATAAAGTGGGGATATGCAATAACCTTGTATATTTAAGCCATGGTATAGATGTCTATGATTATTATCAATGATAAATGATAATACAATTATAATTAATTTACAGTAATTTTGTCTATGAAATGCGCACCATCAAGGTGACGGATGTCCCACAAAGACCGGACAAATGAAATAACTTTTATTTTAGTGAATATATTTTTTTTAATTTATTTATACTCATTAGTGTAACGTTACACCGCGATTTGTATTGTTCTTAACTTTTACTTATTTATTTATTTTTTTGGTTATTTTAATGTTTTTAATTTTAAGATAGCCAGTATATTAAGAATAATTTACTGAACATTTTGACTGGTCGACAACTAGTTTTGGATAATTACTTTTCTAATTATTTAAGTTTTAACTCTAAGATGGGAGTTAGAGTGCGGTAGTGTAATGGGTGTAGATTAAAATAACTTTAATTATTAAAACTAGTCAACATTTTCATATTATGTAGGTAGTCGACATTTTGGTCTAAAATAAACCAAAATGGCTTTTGCTCATAGAACAAATTATTTAAATTTAAAATTATACCTTGGAGCCTATAAAAATTAATCGGTAAATGTATTGACATGTTCGACATTTTATAAAACCTCTTTTTTTCCTTAAATTTTGACTATACCAACTCCTTAAAAACAGTCACATGCGATCCTCTTAAATAATTTTCAAATAATTAGGTAATAAACGCAATATTATTTTTTATCAATGCGTAACTCCAACAAACAGCGTGACCAACTGAACCGTCAACCGGTACGTTCCGTATCCATGTTTTGTATTTACGCTTTTCATGGTCTAATTGGTGTACATAAAACGTCGTGGTTATCAGATTGTAGAAAATGTTGATAACGCACACAGACATGTTACTTATTATAATACAATATACATTATACATAGACAATTTTCAAATTTGTTTGTAAATTGTTATTATAATCTGAGTTTTACCGAATTTTACTGTTTGTTTGCTTAGTGACATTAATCATTAGTATGTAGTTGTTATAAAATGAACACGTCAGCGACACTAGTTTTGTATTGTTATAACTTATCTCTGATAACCTATTAAAATTCGATTGTCGGCCGATTTCACCGACAGAAATGATCTTTTTACGAACGTAACGGTTTGTTATTAAACGCTAAACGTGGAAGAACCCTTAATAGTAGAATGTGGTCGCTGCTAGTGTTGTTGCTTTATTTTAATGCACCCATACCCTGTTGGTGTCTAGACAAGGATGATATAATACTCGCCGTCAATGCTGGTGGCGACGGACATGTAGATAGCAATGGTATATTGTTTCAAAAAGATTTGAACACAGTGGGTACAGAGTCTGACTATGGAAAAAAATTGACAATACAAAGAGTTCAGCATCATGACCAAATACTTTACCAGACTGAAAGATATTCACATACAACATTTGGGTATGATATACCAATTAAGTATGATGGTGACTACGTGATGGTATTAAAATTCAGTGAGGTTTACTTCACTAAAGGTGGATTAAAGGTACTTGTCACTCTCTTTTAAAGTATATTATATGCTCATAACATTTTATTTCAGGTATTCGACGTTGTACTAAATAATCATCATATAGTAGTACCTCAACTAGACATTTTTGAACGAGTTGGTTTTGGAACAGCTCATGATGAAATTATAGAATTTAACGTCGTCGGTTCTACATTGTATTGGGGAGGAGAGATATCTGAAATTAAATCTAATATGGTTCGAGTAGACTTCATAAAAGTATGTATTGTAAAATAGTTTTAACTTTTATAATTGTGTTTTACTAATTTGCGTGTTTACATCATAACCACACAGTTAGCACTTTATTATAATACTAGTTGTTTTTTCAATTTTAATATTGTGAATTTTATTATTTTATTAATTTATTATTGACTTTCATGCATAGCCAAGCAGCAGGTATTAGTTATACAATATTGTGTCTTTTTGTGTCTTACCCATGATACCAAATTCTTCATGTAGTGAGTTTGAGTAAAAAAATTGAAGGGTTCAAGCTTTTAACATCCAGTTAAGTCCATTTTTATAAAAACAAATGTTTTCAAAGAAAAATGATTAAAAAAAATTACCTTCATTTGAAGATAACAAAGCAAAAAAGATGAAATTCATTTTTCTCAAACTGAGAAAAACAATTTTCAAAGTTCCAGTATCGTTGTTTTTGTGTTGTGGTCCAAAACTTTACAGCCTGATTGTGGCGAGGGAACTATACATTTTATTGTGGGAATCAGTTTAAAATAATTCCTTATTTATTTAATACTAAAATTTTATTTGACATTATAATATAAAAATAACGTTTTATATGTAATTGCAGTGCTGTGATATTTTTTCTTTAGTAAAAGCACTTAAAAAAAAATAAAAACGGAAAATATTATGTGTTGTTAAAATGTATAATATCCATTTGTATTTTATTTTTAGGGGGAACGTGATAATCCTAAAATAAATGCTATACTTGTAATCAGAGGCAAAATCTCAGGTAAGACCAAAATATGTTTGGAATATAAATTTAAAAAAAACTAGTAAATTCCTTTCACTAAGAAGAAAAAAAATATTGACACTTATGTTTACTTAAAATAGTCTTAATGTACAGTTTCAACAATCTTTAAGGCTCAGCACACGCAATGCAACTGTTTTGGGACTTTGCCAACGTAAAGTTGTAGGGATCAGCACACGAGGCGATTGGAATGAGAGTAGTTTGCAATCCGTTTCAAATCTGTTGTGCGCAATTGTTTTCCGCGGTTGCAGTTGGGTTGGTATTCAGTTGCACTGAACTACGAGGTTTTTTGTTTTTGATCATTTTTTTAATTGTTATTGTCAACATTAATGACTAAGAACTGAACTTGAAATTTGTTAGCTAGGTGGAGGCACACATTCACTCATTTTGTGTCCATCTTCTCTATGAAAGGGCCAACCATCCTTGCCAATTCCAGATAAGATTTTTTTGACATTCTGTAAAAAGCTATAAACTTTCTGTCTGTCTGAGACAGTTATTTTGCTGCTACGAACAGCCTAGGGTTCATATTTCTCTTTATGTATGGATGGACCCAATGCTTTCTCTGTACTCTGCGGTATTGATAATAATTAATGATGTCTTCCTCGTCTGAATCTGAGTTAGAAATAGCACAAACCGAAAAACCAACTGCACTGTTTGAATAGATAACACAAACAGATCCACAATCAGTGTTATCGGTGTGCAAAATGTTTCATATAAAAGTTTTGTTTTGGCTGTAAACTAGTTGTAGAATGAAACTGATTTGCAACCTTAGTCCCAAAACAGTTGCACCGTGTTTGCTGGGCCTAAGAGAGTCACATTAATTATTTTGTCAGACCATAGTAGCAAAATATGTTTTACTTGGTCTATGATGGTTTTAGACCAAAAATACCAATTATCAAAATGAGGTATCTTATTTTGTTACATTCATTATTGAACTTATTACGTCATGATGTTGTTAAAAATAAATGTCTATCATCATGATTATGTTATCTTCTATTTTTTTTAAAGATGTTTTTGCTACTACTATAGCCTGAATAAAACTCATCATGCGTGATTAGATTTTTGTGCTAAAAAAATGAGGGTATAATTTCCTCATAACAAATATTTTTAATCCCCATTAGGCAATGTTGCTAAAGTGTACAAGTAAAATTTGTACGTTTTTCTTCTTCAATATTTTGAAAACTTAGTATTATAAATTGATTTTCTGCATTGTAAGTTGTAGCTAACATATTAAAAAATACAAGAATAATTTTGTATTTAAAAAAAAAAAAAATGTTGGTAACCTACCAGACCATTGTATACCCTACTGGCTATACGAGTACTTATGGGGCTAAAGCTTTAAGTTTAATAAGTATTGTTAAATTATCGATTTTCAGCCAATTTCTTACTAAAAAATAATAAATCTATTAAAATTTAATTTTGAAACGACCATATTTTCAAATTTCAGTGGTTGAGGTATGCCTAAACGCACTCCTTTTAAACGTACATTATTGGTAAACATCTTAACAAACTGATTGCGCTGACAAACACATTTCATGTCTTGTATGTATTTATTATCAAGTTTTCTTTATTACAGATATACCAATACTACCGGACATGCATTCCGGATTTGAATCGCCACAATCACATAATGAGCGATATAAAGAGTTTGATGATGTTGTAGCTAATGACAAAGATCATATAAAATTAACACAACATGCTAGGTATCCTAGTGGTCCCAGATCTCCTGATCCTTATGAATCCACCAATATGAAACATGCTCCTTTTTTAATAGCATTAGGAGCTTTTTTTGTAGCTCTTGTTTTTCTTTGTAAACTTTAAAAAAACAATTTTTTTACAATTTATTAAGAACAGTATTTTATACATTTTTTTCTTTTTATATGTAGATATTTATTTTTAAAAAAAACAATACAAACGTATATTGCATACATGATACTTTGATTACATAAATTATTTTACCTTATTATTATGACGGGTTTCTATTAGACAAGTTTGAATTTTTCTTAGCATTAAAATTAATAACACAAATCTTATTTTTTAATTAAAAGAACTGAGCAAATATTTGTGTAAAATGTGTAATATATAATATATAATATATATATATATAGTTATTTAACCTACTTTGGAAGGTTATTATGAGTGTATGTAATAAGACTGTTTTTGTTTTAAAAGTAGTATGCTACTCATACAGATAATTACTATAGTATAATTTTAATAATAAATTAATAACTATAGAAATGTGGTTTTAATTAACACAATGTAAATAAATATTCTTTATATTAAATCAATACTCAAGTATTTTATTTTTATTTCACATTACATGCTTCTGCACTGGAGCATATTATATTATTTTTTTTTAATTATATTATAATAAAACTAATCATTATATAAAAAAATCTTTTAAAAACAAGCATTTTCTTATAAAATATTTTTTAATTAACTGTGATATTGGATAATACTTTTAATTTATAGGTCTGACTAAAAATGTCAAGTTTACAAATACATTTTTCAAAATAAATATCAGCCAAACAATAAAATAGTAGTAAACACTTAAGTAATTCCATAAAAAAAGTAAAATGAAGTAACTTTGATTACTGGTCAACATTATCATGTAATATTGTATTTTGTCTGTCAAAAATAAAAAATATCACAAGTGTAAAGTACAAACGTAAAATTAAATTGACTAGATTCAGTTAACGTCAAGACTATTGATGAGTAATGGCCTTAAATATTATGGAATGTAACAATGACATTTTCTTTTGACTAGATTGTTTTAATATTGTGGAATGTGGGTTACTGGTTAATTCACACTTTAACAATTGTTAACATAAAATTATTGCACTAAAACAAGCCATGAATAATTATTAATTACTAAGTTGTATTGTTAGTTCCCAATTAGTGATTTTCCACCAAAGGCGAATCATGCACGCTGATAACACTATCCGTATCAGAATTGGTAGAAAATGGTGTTAGCCTTGTATATGGAATTGGTCTTTTTCTGGCACTATAAAAATAATTTGCGCTGTTATTTCAGCACTGTTTATAAAATATACAAGTGTGAAAATAAAATGTTAATATTTACCAGCTTGAAAAAACTGCTAACAATAAAACTTTACCAAGACTAAATAATAAGAAAAAAAGTTTCAAAACTTCAAACGCACACAAATAACAATACATAATGCATGATTTATCTGAAAGCTAAAAATATAAATATAATAAAATAATAATAATAATACAAATGTATACTTTAGTAATATATGTACTTTTTCAACAATCTAAGGTAGTAGGTAACTCTTTGTGAAAGTGCAAGTCTACTGCACTTCTATGACTGGTGAGCAACGTGATGAGATGTTGAGTAATCACAAACGGTAAATAGTGCATTTTTTTCGTACGATTTTGCATTTATGATTTTATTGATTTTCAATAACATATTACATAAGTTGAAAGAAATTAAAATCGCACATTTTTTTCTTCAAATATTTATTAATAAATATACATCTATATAATCATGCATACAAATAATCTACTACAAATAATATGATATTTTAAGCACATAAGTAAAATATAAATAATAAAATAGTCAAATCAAAAAATGATTAGCTTTGCCATTAAAAAAAATTAGCAAACATTTTTTAACCTTTTCGTAAATATATGTATATATATATAAGGTGTAATATTCTAAAATCATGAATAAATATTTTTAATGCTATACCAGTTTGTCTAAAAAAAATGATTGTAAAATACTTAGTAGAGATTTCATTCCAATCACACTTTTCTCAAAACGTTTAAGCATAGTAACAAATCTAAGATAAGCCAATAAGTTGTCAAATATGTTATACTTAGTTTTTGGAATTTCTACAAAGTATTATTAAATAACAAATAAACATTCATAATCAAATATTTAGATAATTAACTTATTATTCAATTATTAAAAAAAAAAAAAAAAAAACCCATTAGGACACAACTAGAATTTACGCAAAGGCTATTTTATACACACTGGACATAAATTACACAAAAAAAAAAAAAAGAAATACTTAAACAGATAGCCTGATACCTGTGTTCCAGTCTCAAGATCCACATTGTGATTCGAGCATAATTAAAATGAGATAGGAACATAATTTTACTATTGTGTTTCAGTATTTATATTGAACAATAAATAAAAAAATTGAACATAATAGTTTTTGTTTAAGATATAATATGAACAAATTAAATTTAGCTTTGAAATGTTTCAATTAAAAATAAAACTGATAAATAACACACATAAAATGATAAAATTACCTTGTTATTCTTCTTCTATCCATAAAACTAGGCGAACCCCGTCGTCTAGGTATAGAAGCTGATCGAGACTTTGAAGAACTACGACTAGATGATGAGCTACTGCTGGAATCTCCACTTGAACTAGAACTTCGAGAATATTGGCTACTTGATGAACTACTAGAAGATGTTGAATGACTCGTAGAATAACTTCTCCTTTTTTTTTTGTATGATGTCCAAGAGTCATCACTACTACTAGAAGAACTACTACTGTCACTACTTCTTCTCCTACGTGATGATTGTTTGCGCTTTGATGATTTGCGCTTACGTTCTGGACTGGAGTCGCTACTAGAAGAAGCCCGTTTTTTTCGTGATCGTTCTTTTGAGCTAGATGACCTAGTTGGAGACCGGGATGTACTTCTTTTGGTTCTTCCACGTAACACTGTTGACTTTTTCTTAGAAGATTTTACTAAATGTTTTGTTGAGCGCTTTTGATCGGCACTAGAATCACTTGAACTACTGCTGCTACTTGACTGTGAACGTTTGGCCATTTTCTTCTTTTTCTTCATATCGCTAAAATAATATTATTTTTTTATAATTTGAAAATAAAAAAAACTGGTAGGTTGGTTGTACATTTTTATAGGAATACAAGTTTAATTAATAATATTATCAAAATTAAGCTAAATAGATATTTATCGACAATATTTTAAAATTAGTATAATTTAAGTTAATGCTGGGGGCATAGAAAGAGTCTCCTCATTAAATGTTCTTACACATGCAACCTTCATGACGCCTTGGGAAACAATGGTACAGCCTTCAAAAGCATATCATAAACCAATTTTTCCAACCCCAAGAAAACTCAATTTAGCCCAATAATAGTTTGTATAAAGAAAGTTTTTGCTTCTACAAAATTTTAATTCACACACCTGAGTGCAGCCATATCCATTGGGTATGGACCCAATGAATATATTTCTTTCATTAATTTTAATTTTCAACACACCCTTATTACAACCATTTATTAAGCAGAGCTTGTGCAAGGTGGAAGCAGCCAACATTTGTTTCGCAGTACTATGAAAATCAACCACGATACCTGTAGTGCCACATATCTACATACATCTTCTTGTGTATATATATTAACCTTCTAAAAACAGTGTACATATATGTACACTATATAACAGGCCCGTTTTTATCCCTCTTCTCCCCTTTACGCGCCCCAAAACCCTTGCGCCCCTAGGCAAGTGCCCATTTTGCCCAGTTATAGAATCGGGCCTGCTATATATACTAAAAATGTATTTATGTAGTTGTACAGAACGATATAACAATCAAATATTTACTTTTTTTAGTATTTTCCAGAGCTCTATCGACTTTTAAAATGTTGACGTATATATTTTAACATTTGCGATTGAAATTAAGAATGATTTTCTTAAAATATTGACTGGTCTATAAGCAGTTTTGGATATTTACTTTTAAAGTTATTTAAATTTAAAATTGAAGATGGAAGAAAGGCTGGAGTGTAGTAATATTTTGACTTGCACTCATTACTCTACCTCACTCCACCTTTCATCCTAAATATTAAACTTTAATAACTAAAAATAATTATCCAAAACCAATCAACATTTTTAACAATTAATTCTTAATTTAAAAATTGAATTAAATACTTATACTACCTTTTAAGTTACAAAAGTTGATAGAGCACTAGAAAATACTAAAAAGGTAAATATTTTATGGTTATATAATATTGTACAATTACATAAATCACTTCTAAGGAAATGAGTGACTTACGTTAAATTGTAACATTGTGTATATATAATGATTTGTACGCACCTGGCACTTGAAGAAGAATCACTAACATGAGTTCTTTTAACAGCTTTACTTTTTTTTGGCTCTTCATCTGAACTGTCGCTTGAACTAGAATACGATTTTATATTTTTTTTCTCCATCAATTTCTTCTTTAAATGTAGCAAAGCTTGCTCTTGTTTTTCATGAAGTTCAAAAACTTTTTTTATATTTTCAGTTGTAATTTCTTTAATTATATTTAGATCAATATCTTCTTCGAAATCACCATCTCCAGTAGACTCTACTGATTTCTTATCTAATTTCTCATAAGTTTTACGAGAGTCAAGTTTTTCGTCATTAATCACCGTTTTACCATCATTTTTAGAAGTTCGTTTCGATTCTTCTGATCGTCCATTAGATTTACTTACTACTACACTATCCTCACTGCCATCTTTTAGCGAAAATGTGTATTTAGTACTTTTCATTTCTTTATCTTCGGTTGCTTTGGATTGACTTGTCTTAATACTAGTGTTCATTATATTAGGTGGAGGTGTATAACAGGAATGATCACTGTCAGATTCAATGCAAGTTAACCTTTCACGTAGCACAGGTGGTTGTTTTCTATTTTTTTTAATAGGGCTCACGCTTTTTTTTGAACTGTATTTCCTATCATTTCTGTCATATTTCTTATCATTATTATCTCTGTCTTTATTTGATTTTATATCATTATTGTATTTTTGATGTCTGTATGAATATTTATCATACTCTCGTTCTCTATATCTACCACGATCTTTAATCGGTGTTCTACTTGTAGATCTATCTTGACCTTGATCCCTATATTTATCACGATTTTTAACTGGTGTTCTACTTTTAGATCTATTTTGTCCTCGTTCTTTATATCTATCACAATCTTTTACTGGTGTTTTATTTTTAGGTACAGTATCATGTTTTAAATTGTACAAATTTTTAGATTTATACTTGTTTGACTCTTCGCTAGGCTTAATATCCTTATAGGAATTTTTATAACGCTCTTTTTTGGAATCTTTCTTGTTGCTTTCCTCGCGATCACTTTTAAATTTGTTTTCTATTTCATTATGTTCATTTTTATGACTTTTTTCATAAAAGTTTTTCTTATGATTTTCATCAGACTCTTTCACAACTTTTTTATTACTCTCCTCAGTCTTGGTCTTTTTCAATTCTTCATCATCATTCTTAGATTTAACTTTTGAAGAATTTTTATCAACTTTAGGTTCTTCAACACTGAAAAAAATTTTATTAGTCCAGGTTAATAATATACTAAATATAAATAATATATTATAATATCTGTACTCTCAAATTATTATTAGGATGTTTAATTTTCATGTGTCAAGTTACATTTTAAATCTAAGCGGATTTCTTACCTTTATTAATTTAATATTAACAAAATTATTTTAACTATTAAAACAATGATGTGTTACATCTTCTTCCCTCCCATCATACAAATTATTTTAATCCCTTAACTATGGTATGGTAAGAATTAAATTACTAAGGTTTCAGTAATACTTCAACAATTGAATAGATTTCCTACAGCTTACCAATGGTATCTTATTCAAATAAAAAAATCCTCAAAATTTCAGATCTCTTGCTTAACTTTAAAAACTTCCTCAAGAATTTTTTTTTTTGAATTTAATTAAAATGGAAAATTTTAATTTTTCAATTTGAAAAAGATAGCAAGACTTTCTCCTTGCGCTTTTGCAAATAAATTAAAAAACTAAATATTCCAATTTTGGATAAAAATTTTTTTTTTTTAAATTACTCTTTTACCAAATAAATCAAAAGTAACATTTAAATTAAAGTATAGAAGTGTGTATTAAGTTATGTTTGCTAAACAGAAGGTGGTGGTCTTATAGTAGCTATAAACTCATAGATTATCTAGCTTCCAACAATAGTTAACCAAATTAACATATAAACCAAAAGAATTTAGTAATTACCTTGGACTGTTCTCTTTAGATGAATTGTGTTTCTTTTTATGCTTCTTAGATTTCTTTTTATCAACACTTTTTTCTCTATAAAAAAAAAACCTTTGAATTAATTTTCTTTTATTTACAAATAAAAGAATAAAATAAAATAAATATTGAGTTGTTAAAAAATGATGAATAATAAAAGTATAATATAATAAGTAAAAAATTGATATAGGTGTTTGTTTTTTAAGTATGGCTGATAAATAAAACTATTACCATATAATTATTTTTTCTTAAACTTTAAAAATGCTTAAGTTATTAATTTATTATGATAAGTACAACAATTTCTTAAAATTCAGTTCTTGGTATTTTTAACATCAATTAATTCTCAAAGGTAATACTGGTAAAAATCTTACACAATATGAAATAGTAAAATTTTATTAATTTTCTTTTAAAAGTTAAATTATTTTTATATCTGTAAAATAGTTATCCGGTTATGGGTGGACTAAAAAAGCCCCCGAGGGAAATTTAAGAAAATTTGAAAGGCTATTGGTTTTAAATTTTGTATGAAAAACTAACTTTGTAAACTTTTATATAATTTATAAATTAGACTAATGGCATAAGCTGTAATTAGAGACTCTAAGCCTTGTCCAAAATCACTATGTATGGGGTAAGACTGCATATTCAGTCAGAATTATGAAATTTAACGTTACAGTATTACTTAAACACCAGTTCATGAGTAATTAAGCAAGTTATTTGTTAGTATTAGCATTGTTTTTTTAAAATATACCGAGAAGCGATGCTATATAAAAAAACAGAAATGAATTTGCGCTGGCAGCAGAGGTATCCTCGTCATAGTTTAAGAAAGGGAATACCACATAAAAATGTTACCATTTTTATGTATAGTACCGCACATCTGTATATTTTAAAATCATTGCTACTATCAAATTGACTCTATGTTAGTCACCTTGTTGTTTTAGATTTAAGTTGGTAACATTTTATTTTATAGATTTTACTGATACTTTATAAAATTATATAATGATTCATGACAATTGACTAAGCACTATAATATATAGTAGGGTGCTTTTTTTTTTGCAACAATTTTTTTTTTTAGCTCCCATCCTAAAATTTTGTTGTAAATGCCAAAAAAAAAATTCCCTGAAAATATGAGCCCTAAATATTAAGTACTCTCCCATAACGTGAGAAGTATTTAAATAACGTATAAATTTAGATTTTTTTTTGTAAATTTCTATAACTCAGCGGCATTTTGTGCTATCATATCGTTCAAGGTCGCAAATTACTGATAATTAAGAGTTCTATAGAAGTGCCCATTACGATGTAACTGTATCTTACACTGGTGAGTTAGTACAACAGGTCACTGAAGTCAATTTTTGTATAAAATTCTTTTTTTTGTTATTTCATCAATGGCTAAACTTACAGAAAAAATGTTAGAATAGTAGTCCAGTCTACCTTTGCATTTAATCAATTTTTAAACTCAGGTCTCAGGATAATTAATAAAAAATTGCATTGTTATAATAATCAACCATATACAATGACTTTGTTGATAAAAAAAAAAAAATTAATAAAATAAAATAGGTTTTTAACTTAAACTTATATTTTGGTGTCATACCCTATAAACTTACCAACTTTGGAATTTTTATTATTAATATTTTACTAAACTTCAATAACTATGGAATGATATTAATTATTTGTCATTAATATTAAACAAAAATACTGTAATTATTAATACTGTATTATCATATATGTTTAGTAGAACATCATAATGCTGCATGGAAAATCACACCAAAACAAAAATTATTGTATGGAAAACATTGTAACTTACCACTATATAGTTTAATATCCTTTAATCAGTTTAACTAAACAGTAATCAACAAATTGCCTAATTAAAAATATAGTTTTTATTGTATCTACATTGTGTAACAACTATTAAAAAAGAAGGGAAATGATGATCAAAGGTAAATAAATATTATTTACACACATATTATTATAACTCTGGGTTGGTGGGAAACGATAGACGCGAAGTAATTTCTGCATGTCATATGAGATGACTATAAGAGTAAGTATTGAGGGGTGCAGCAGCTACTTCAGTACTGGCATATCAAATTGCTATAAGCAGATATGGTAGTTATCTTAATAAAGAAAAACGGAAACCAAAATATAATATAAATATCTAATATTTGCAGTAAAAATTGCTTCAATGATTCCAGACATAAAATAGTCTCATAATCGGATTTCCAGGTGGAGACTGCTTAAAGATACAAAATAAGATGAAAGAGTATAGGTAAGTTGAATGTTGTATCTTTGAGAATGTGGTTTAATCAAAAAATTTTAAATTAGAAATTAAAAGTATAAATCTTGGTGTTACTGAGATAAATGAAGTAAGATGGCTTAATCCAAGGAAATCAATACCGAAAACTATAGGTTTGTACATACAGGATCAATGGATGGATACATAGGGGTGCGAATTATTTTGAATATAAAAAGAATAAAATATAGAAAGAAACAGTCTTAAAATACCAATATTACCATAATAAAAATATATTCCACCCACAAAAACTAGGACAAATTTTAGTATAAAAACAAAATTAACTAATTTTTAACTAGTAGACCTCAAATAAAATATCAAAACTAAAAGATAGAAGAAAAATGGAATAGAATCAAAGATATAGTAAGATATAATGTAAATAATATCATATATTAAAACAAAAATGATACAAATTTACATCAAAATAGATCAATTATTAATAACTAAAAAAATAATAGTTGTAACAATGAAAAATGAAGAGCATACAACACTCAGCCTTCTCATAGATGTTAATTACGTCAAAAAAGACCAACTTAGAGAATGCAATACATTCAATTTAGGGATAGACTGATTTGGTTTTTGGAATATAAATTTTAATAGAAAAACAAATTGGAAGAAATATAGATACTTTGGTGGCCTCTGTTGATTTTGAAAAGGCATTCAACGATGTATTTTAGAATAAAATGTTTAAGAATGTAAAATTTAATGTCAAAAAAGCTGTTATAAACATCTTAGAAGCAATAAAATAATTGTACTAGTATGAATAGAATAGGTAGGCAAACTGTATTTGCACTTTATTTTGCTGATGGCTTCTACACTTAAGAAAAGAAAGATTTACATATTTCGCTACAAAAAACCTAAGAGATTCCTTAAATCTATGGGGGTAAAACTCATCCAAGATGGCTTACCATATTTATAAACAGATATCCTATTGAACAAGTGCAACACTATACTGAGTAGCATTACAGAGAAACTAAATAATCTATTAGTGACTATAACAGTATAGGACTGAATACTAGAAAAAACTTAACAAAGGCAAACATGTGGATTGTAGCACTAAACCTAAATAAGACCTGGCCAGTGAGTACCGTAGAATTGTGAAAATTGGAAACATTCTAAATGTGTGGTTACCGTAAGACACTCAAGATTGTAGGGAGGGAGAAAGTAATAACTGACCAAGTATTGAAGAGAATAAAGGAAAAACAAATTATAGCAAATAATAAAAAAATAGAAGTAATAATGTGATAGATAACACTAAATGATGTTTTGTTGAAATTAACTATTGAAGGTGACATAAAAGAAGTTAATTCAAAAGAGGACGACCAAAAAGTGAATATATGCGACAAATTCTTAGACATGTGACTGAAATGATTTCGAGAACAGAAGAATTTTAATTTAGACCGAGAGGTAGAGCTGCAGCCAACTAGTTTAGATTGAAAACCAGAAAAAGAATAAATATTATTAATACTTAACAGAAGTAAATAAAAAAATCTTTGATCATCAACTTAGTAGAAATAATTAAGTAATTAAAACACAATTACTTTAATAGTAAAAAAAATATTTAACCAAACATACTTATCAGTTTTATGAGATTTTGATGATTTATTTTTCTTTTTCTTCTTCTTTTGTTTCTTATGTTTTGGACTCTTGGAGCTAAAATAATAAAATATTTTTGACTATGTGCACATATCAAAATTTTTCTTCAAAAGAATATTTTAAGAAATAAAATTTACAACACTTACAGTAGTTCAACTTTTGGGCTACCATCTTTGTTTACTGAAGTGTCAGTGTCATTAATTTGTGTTTGCACAACTGTTTGTTCCACCTGCAATGCCTTCAACTGAGCTAGCGCTGCTTCTTTAGTTTTTCTTTCTGGGTCTAAACTAGAACCTTCGATGAAAAATTCAGAAATACCAAAAGCATCTCGTAGTCTGGCATTCTTTTTTAGTTGTTCATCAGCATATTGATGAGTGTCTTTCACACTATAAAAACAATAACAAGCAATAAAACATTAATTACCAGCAATAATATTTTATATTAAAACTAGTATTTATTTTTTCATAACACAAATATGTTAACATTTCACTGATTAAATTTACCTTGATAATGATTGAAAAGCATTAAAATCAGTGAAATGTAGTCCATTGAAATATACTGTATTGGGGCAACTTAAAGGTAAATTATGAAGAAATAGTGTTCCTTGTGCAATATTTGTTGGTAACAGACAGCCAATTTTATTTAATTTTTCAGTACAACAATTTTCACATAACGAGTTTTGTTTAACTTTTTTCTTTCGACGTCGCCTGGTTCGTTTTTTCTTAGTATTATCTTTGACTTGTTCGACAGATTTTGTTTCAGCCATTATAAAAGTATTATTTGGATTTTTAAGGACAGATTTTAATGTTTTGCTCCATACTCGTTTAAAACATTGTTGTTCAATAATTTTATTTGGTTCTGCCATTATTATTATATTATTTAAAAAAAAATTATTATATATTTATCACAATAATTTATGTTTGGAAGACTTGTTTTATACTATAGTAAATTGTATTTTATGGAAGACTAATGTTAATATAATTAATATTCTAATATCACAATAAAATTTGGAAGACTTGTTATATAATCATGGTGGCATATATTGTGGTTTTTTCATGTTTCACATAGTTATTAATTTAGTTTTTGTTGATTAAAATGTTTAGTCATAATCATCTAAAAACTAAAATGAAAAAAAAACAACTCACAACACTAACACACTCAATACACTGAGAAGGGTGGTGCCAGTGTGCCAACTAAAAGAGGGTGGATTCTAGTATTGATCCATGCAGGGCTGTACACTAGTGTGGTCATACTCCCCTTATGTACAGTCATACCTATGTATGTTATACATTACATGTACATTAATGCATAATTTAATAAATACAATAAAGATGTTTAATGAAATCATTTTAATAATTTAAAATTGATACTCATATAACTAAATATAGATTTAATCATTTTAATTTTCCTGATTTTTATAAACAAAATATTATTTTAAGCAAGAATAATTTAATTAATAACTGTACCTTAAAGATGTTATAGTTTTAAAAGAGTTTATTAATAATAAGGACTATTTAAATGGCTAACTAAATTAATGTTAGATTAAACTAAAATGTTATTACTACTTAATAAATTTATTATTGTCTAATTAATAAAGATACTTGCATTGGTCTTCCAAATTCATCATACTCGGTTGATGATTTTTGTTTTCCCAACAGAGTGACACGGAATGTATTAATTTTTTCAACAATTTCCTCTTGAGAATAACTACATGAAATTAAAATACAAAATAAAATATTTGTTAGGCTAAATTAATAATCTTACATATATTTAGAAATATATACCCTTGATCCTCCAAAGATTGTTCGAGTTCAATACATTTCAACTCAATTTTTCTTTTACGATCGTGGTCTAACAGCTCTTGATTAGGTTGACGATTAGTGGCTGAATCAATTTTTGCTAGTTCTTCTTCAGTTTTGAATGATGTCTGGTCTTTAACCTTTTTGATAGCAGCCCAGTTTCGTGTGACGTAGCCATTGGTACCTGAACCACGGGCCGTGGCCAAACCAATTCCGTTATACATTATCTGTAGATATTAAGTAAAATTGATAAATTTGTTTAAAATATTAGCACAACTGTATTACCTACTATTTATTGATTATTACCTACTCAATAATTTGTGTCTGCACGTTCAGAATATAATAATTAGGATAAATACAAGCACTAACTAATCAGATAGTTAGAACTCATAACACTAGCGCTATTATTTTAGCTATCAAAGCCTAGGTAAGTTTAAGGTAAAATAATAATGGTTTTTGTTGATATTAAAATTACAGTCGAGACTTATTAGTTATGATACAAAAACTTATCACAAATTTGTATTAATAATAATAATAAATTTAAATTATAATTGTTTATTCAAAATTTGTACTTAGCTACGGGAGAAGATAAAAATCTGGTTTAAAAGATTTTTATTTTCCACAGTGGTCTGTGGTAATACTTACATGGAAATGTAATAACCAATCAAACTTCAGACTTTCAAAGGGTGGCCCCCTACTCTATAAAAATAACGTTGATATATCAATGGTAGCTCTATGTACAATACAATGTACTATGTAGGCTATAACAAATATTTTGAGGTTAGACCACGGCACCGCTCAACATTTTATCAATAATCAGGTTTTTATTATCAATAATGGATGTCCCATTCTTTAAAAATAGTATAATTTATTGGAAGTTTTAACTGTGGTCTGCGGAGAGTCTTCAGTCCAGTTACATTTTACCCAGTCTTCATCCCAGGAGTCCGAATGTTTTAAGATTACACAGACTAAAGTATATTATTTTTATGTTGTGCCCTTTAATGTTAAAAATTATTTGGTCAATTGTCTATACGATATAATTACTCGGAATAGTTTTGAAAATGAGTAAACATAATAGCTGTTTAAAAATAAATACTTGCTAGTATATTTTAAAATAAACTCATTTTTAAGTATCTTAAAAAAATAATGTTGCTAAACACTTTTAAATTTTGTCGAGTCCAATGTTCGGGTAAGTAGTGGATGTACCTATAATAACCATGTACACACTACAAAATACATAAATTATTTGCAGTTATACAAGTATGTCGATCCTCTACTAAAGCCCAATCATTAGATAACCAGCAGTTTTCCAATGACAGTGCAAAAGAAAAACTATCAAAACCTGAAAGAAAATCAGTTGTTCCATCAAATTCCAGATATATTTATCCAGAATTTTTACCTGATCCTAAAATGGAATGGCGTAATAATTTGCGAGAAAAATTGGAGCGTATGGATATGATTCACAGAAGAAAACATATAGAAATACCAGAATTTTATGTTGGTGAGGAGTTTGTTAGCTGGCTTGACAGTTTTTTGTATTTGTTTAAAGTTAACACTTTTTAAATTGTAACAAGTTATTGTAGTAAGAGATCTAGCAGTTAAATAACAAATTATAACTGAAAAAATAAGATACAAATACATTCTTTATGAAAACAATTTTGTAATATCTCTAAGTCTAGTTATAAAATATACTTGCTTTATATGCACAGCTTAGGGATGGTCAAAATGTGAAACATCAATAATTTATATTTGTCATATTAGTCATGAGGAAAATCTATATTTTAACCATTGTTTTTTATTCTAAGAGTTTGCTAATTAACAAATGCTATTACAAATCTTGCTTTTTTTCATATTTATTGAATTTGATAACACTACATGATTCAATAAGGGTTCTGAAAACATATTTGAGTTTCTCTGACTCTTTACTAAGGAAGGCTTTCCCACATTTGTCAATTTTGTACTATAAATTGTCCGTTATTCAGTTACCCTGCTGCGATGTTTACACCAATCCCCATCTAGCTATGAGAAAATTTGTTTTGCCTATAGTGTTGATAATCTATCAACTAGAGAATAGCCAAAGTTACTTCAGGCTAACCTCTTGCATTTAAATGCAGTTCATTGTTTTTCAGTAAAGGTAGTATAAACACAACTGGTACAACTGCTAGGAGGCTAAAAAATAAAAATATTAACAATGAATTACACTTAATCCAAAAAATAAATGAAAAATTTAGAAAAATCGGCTACTAAAAAAGATTTTACAAATTTAAAATCTGTTTTCAGATTCCTTATAGCATCAGTATTGATTTATACATTAGATATGATGCGTGATACATTAGATACGTTGATATGTTGGAAAATATGATTAAATTCATGTACTGGACAGATAGTAACAGGATGTATATCCTGTTACTAAAACAGTATTGCTTTCCAATCCTCTTAAGTGAACTTATTTGATAAAACCAAATAATTTAATTTTTTTGTAGGCAGTATTATGGCAGTCACTTCATCTAATCAACATGCTCCTAATAAAGCAACACGCTTTGTAGGAATATGTATACAGCGTTTGGGATGTGGTCTTAGGGCAAATTTTACTCTTCGAAATGTTATAAAAAATGTTGGCAAGTATAATTTTTGTAGAAAACTCATAGTTTTGTGTAATACTGAATTCAAAATAAAACTTATACCAAATTCTTCACAGGTACTGAAATGAAATATCAATTGTATGATCCAACTATTCAAAAGATTGAGGTTTTACGATTAGAAAAACGGCTAGATGATGAGTTGTTGTATTTAAGAGATGCTCCAAATGAGTATAGTACATTTGATGAAAATATGGAAATAGAATATTTACCTGAAGGCGCGCCTATTCCTGTCAATACTACGATTGTAAAGAAATATTTGTATTTTTAATATGTTTTTAAAATAATTCTTTGTTTCTTAATAATAGGTTAAGTTAAAACCTAGACCATGGCGTGCTCGGTGGGAGAGAAAAGGCATGAAAGGATTAGCTGATTTAGGGTTAGAAGAACGTTTCTATAAACGTGCAGAGGAATTAGCCACTCCTTGGGAAAAATATGATTTAATGAAACAATACAGGTAAATTATTTAAATAGAATTTTATTAATAAAAAATTTTTGATCAAATAAAAATGCTAATTTTATGTACAGAAAAACAATACCGGAAGAAGAACAAAAAGAAATATTTGCAGAGGTATATTCAGAACTTCATGAAGTTGAAGTAATGCGGAAGAAGATGAAACGAAAGAAAGTTTTCATTAAGCCTACTAAAACTGCATAAACTGTATTGTAGAAAAAAAATTTTAATATATAGAAATATATCATATGGCTGAAATTGTTACATAAAGTATCATGATACTTATTTAATGTAATCATTCCGATCAAGCTAATGTCAACTAAAACGATGGGAATAGGCTTAAAAAAAAACTAAAACCCATTTGTAGGTATCACAAACAGCAGGTGTCTTGTTATTATGGCAAGGAAATTTTCATAACCTGTATGTGTACAAAATATTTAACCAAAATTATGGCCAGAAAATGTTTTGTCAATCATTAATCAGTTCTTCGAGACATTGACTGACCAACATTCAACATCATCTTCAATACAAACTATTAGGTTGTAGTTAGAGCTACAACGCAGATATTTGTGAATATGTCTTGCTGTCATCCTCGAGGAATTATCTATAAATTTAAAAACCTGCATGTAAATCAAGCTAGTAGTTTTCAGATATTTAGTAGGTGTAAAAACATCCTTTGCACAGTTCCCTCATCCACCTTAGGCTTCTTGTATAGCGCAATACTTATAAAGTAAATTTCAGACCTTGAAGGTTTTTCTCGATCTTGCCCGCCAATTACTTTAACATCTTAACTTGGAAATAGTGTTATGGCGACTAAAGTTTTCCCACATGAAATTAAACTAAACTGTAAATGTTCAAATATGGTTTTTTTTATTTATTTTTAACCGTTAATCTATAAACCTCTAAACTAGGCGATGAACTAGAAAAATTTGTAGGCGCCCATATAGGCTGCAGCAAGTGCCCCATAAAAGAAGCCAATATTCCAATGACATAGTCGAGGCAGGAGCCAGAGGGCTATATCCCTCTCCCCCATAAGAAGAACTATGTGTTTTACTAAAAACCTATTTAAGATCGCTAATGCTTAGGTAAGATTTAGACAAAACTAACATAAAATAATTATTATAAGTAATTAGGTATTTAAACAATGGGGGAAGTAATGCCCCCCCCCGGAACGCAAAGGATGCAAGTGTAAAAAAAAAAAAAAGTTATTTAAACGATAAAAAAAGTTACTTTATTCAATTTCAATTCACAAAAAAAAGTTAATTAGGTGTTTTCGCAAAACCTCAAAATTAAATATGGTAAACCGTTTATTGTCACCTCATAATGGACGAATAATGTAAGCGCTATCTGCTAAATAATACATTTCATTTTTTATTTAGCCCCGTCCATTAAAATAAAGAGTATGGTTAAGTTAAAATTATAATTTATATACTTAGTTACGCGTATAAAGTAGTTTATTCACTAGACTAATTTAGACAAATTACAAACGACAATTTTTTTCTATACATGTTCATTGTATAAATTACTTCATTATAAAAGGCTGGACTTAAAATGAAAGTATTTTTTCCCGGTTTTATGGGTTTAACTTTTTAAAATTGTTTAACACCGATATTTTATTTTTAGTGTTAATGTTCAACATGCAGTTGGTTGTTCTGTACTTTTCAGACCATTATTACGACCAACTAACTATTATTTAATAAATAATAAAGTGTATTATAAACAAAAATTATTCAAACTATTTCTCATATAAATTAATATTTTAGGGTTTTGATTTATTTTTTTTTAAATTTACACTTTGGTATTTTTGTTAAAATATGAATGTTATGGTTGTTCTTTTTCAGTTCCGTTTCCAAGTTTTACTAAGAGACAAAAAATGTGAAGCAGTGGCTAGGTACTTTTAGACAAAAGAACGGAATTCATAATTGTTAACATTAAAAATAATTAATAACTAGTTTTAGAAGCCTAAAATAAATAAAAACTAATATATTTCATTATTATCCTGAAATGTTGAGCTTTAATAAAATATTAAAGAGTAGGTACTAGCTTAATTACCATCAATTGTACACACAATACACATTAGTTTTTAATTTATTTAATTAAATAAAGAAAATTAACAATCTAATTGACTTAGACCAGCTTACGAAATGATGACTGTAAACAAACCTTTTTCAAACTTCTATCTTAAAATACCAATTCAATTTTTGTTAATAAAATAATTTCAAACACTATAAAGACAATTATATTATATAGTTATTTACAAAATTAGTAACCTATGAACTACATTTTTATAAAAATATTTTGTTTTTTTGAAAAAAGTATTGAGTAGCTTAATAAATAGTAATGTGATTGTACAAGTATTAATGTGTATAGTATCATGAATATTAATTGTAAAAAGGCAATATAAATACTTAAAATAAATCACATTTTACATTTTCTTTTTATCTAAATTTATTAATATACATTTAAACAAATATTTTTATTTTATTGTTAGACAGAACACCAAAGTTGAAAAAAAAGTATAATGTATATATGGTGATATTTTGGAATATAGATGTGAACTTAACTCATTAAGAATTTAAAAACCTTTAATGTAAAGCAAAATAGTACATAACCGTATCAATCATTTATTTAGTATTGTTTTATGTTAATTATAAGTATTTTATTGAAAACTGATTGCTGGATTCACTGATTATCTAAAATAATACAATAAAAATTAATAATAATCTTAGGAAAATAAAACCATAGATAATACAGAGAAATTAAAAATATATCAAAATAAAAGTTCACTTTACTCACATATTAGTATTGAAAGTCTTGGGGTAAGTTGTACTTCACATATGGTACTTCAACGTCTTCACCTTCCAAGTTGTTACAACATATTTCAAAAACCAAGGACTTCACATGTGGCTCAATTTTCTTCTTTGAAATATTACGTACAATTTCAGACATTTTTGTGTTAATACGTTCTTCTCTCTTGGCTTTGGGCATAAAGAATGAATACAACATACAGACTCCTTGAGACAGCATAGTGATTTCCAGAGAGTGCTTTTCTTTGAAATAATTTAAAAATTCATTCAATGTGAGTTCCCCTTCTACTTCAAAACGATCCCATAACGTCCATTCGTTTTCATAATATTTAAATTTGGGTGCAAGTAAAGGTTCTGAAAAACCAAAAAATGGTAAAGCTAAATTTACAAAGCCATTTTTATATTTTTCCAATTCTTTGCACCCCCAAGCCAACTTGATGAATTCTTGACAAACAAGACCAGCTACAACTGAAGTTGTTGTAGCAATAGCTGGAATAATTTTACCGGCAATGAGCTTACTGCGATGACGATCAGCAGGCTGAATTTCATAATTTGTCGCTCTTAAATTGGATGCTGCTACAACATAATCAATATGCAAATTACTATCATCATCTTTTTCAAAATCTAAAGGAATAATTTTCAAGTCTTTTAAAGCACTGACTGGTGGCAATTCCTTTTGCATTTTGTTAAGTTTATTGGAATCATAATTTGATGAACCATTAGTTATTTGTGAATCATTTTCAGCAATTCTCACTCCAGATTTCGGAACAAATTCAGGAACTTTAACCGACAATGCAACATTGGATATATAGGCTCGATCCCGGACCTGACTGATATTATAAGTCTCTGCTCTTAAATTAGCCGCTGCAAATATATAATCTAAATGTAGAATATTGTTTACATCAAATATGATCGGTTTTGGACAACGCTTTGGTCCAGACCAAAATGGTTGGCCACTAGATGTCATTTGGTCTGGTGGGAAATTGAACAAAAGTTGTTTTATTTGGTTTGTAAATTGTTCCTCAAAGTGTAGTCTAGCCCATGTAATGCAGTCGTCAATATTTTTTGGTCGTTCTGTTACTGATGATCTAACACTTTCTATAATTTCGACTGGCTGAAGTCCAGGTAAACGATTTGTTCGCTCCATAAAAGTTGGATCTTCCAAGTATTGTTTTACATTTTCAGGAGTCTGTTTGAATAGACCTTCAAATAAATCTCTAGCCCATTGTAATGTATGTTCTATAGCATTAGGGAAATTTTTAAGAGTACAAATTGGTATACTCTTTTCCGGAGGGTCCTGTGAAGTGCTATATGATTCAGTGAAGTTGGGAATAACCACTTGTGTATTGCCTTTTGTACCTAAAGTTCCAGATTCTAAAAGAGGTTTTTTGTAAAAAACACAACGTCTGTCCATGTATATACGTGCATCTACATTGTCTAGTGCATTAGCTACTCCATCTAAACTTTCAAAAAATGTGTCGTTATAGGTCGATTCTGTTTCAGGACATACTCTGTTGGTTTGTGGTTCAACATTCACATGTGGATTCATACATTTTATAGCCTTAGCTGCTGTTTCAGCTTTAGAATTCTGAACATCTTGAGGCCTGAATAAAAACTGTCTGTTTAAGTTTGATTTTTCAATTAAATCCATATCAGTAACATAAATTTTACCATTTCCACATCCAACTCCCATAATAGCAAAATTCTTTAACAATTCACATCCTATAGCTCCAGATCCAACAACAAAATATTTCAAGTTACCTAGAACACTTTGAAACTTTTGACCATATACAGCTACTTGTCCATCATAACGGTTTCCAATTGGTTTCGCATCTTTTTCTGTAACTTCTTCAGGTAAAGTTTCAAGCGCATCAAAATATAGCCATTGAAATATTGGACTAAATTTTCCAGAGCAAGATTTCATTATTTCTTGAGCTACGATTCCACCAACAAATGATGTCATTGGATTAATATTTCCAGCACAAACTTTAGAAAATTTTTTTATAAGTTCAACATCAATTTCAATAGAGTTTGAATTTTCACTTTCTACTATTTTTAAAAACATTTCAGCGTCATCTGTGCTCCATGGATTAGGCAAGCGGCTATTTCTTGCAATAAATTTATGAAGAGCAATGAATGCTAAATGCAATTGATTAGGCCTATCAAATTTCCCAAAATCAGATATTAAAAATTCGGGTTCTGTAATAGAGTTCTTTAAAGATTTGAAACTTAATTTTTTTGGCATTTTAACTTGAGTAGCAATTCCTCCCTTTAAGTAATTTGAAAAAGATGTAGTGTCGCCAATACTAAAAGTATATGGACCTAATACAGTAATTCTTTTTGGTTTGCATCCATTCAGTTCGCACATACCCTGTACTTCACAAAAAGTCACATAATCTCCATCTTCGAATCCGTGTCGAGATTCATCCATACAAGTAACAACACCTTGCTCGTCTTTTGTTATACCAGCTACCATAACAGAAATGGGGTTTTCGCCAGTTGAATCAGTTACAATAAACCCATCGCCAAAATCACAGAACACCTGAGAAAATACACCCCTCGTGTCAGCAACAATAAGAGCAATACTATTTGAATGTGTAATTTCTGATATGCGTAATTGTTCATCAAGCGTTGTTTCTGTCAATACAATTACTTTAAACTGTTTGATGTAGGATTCAGATAAGTCACCAGTGTAAGATTTCACTGGCACATAAGAATTGAGCTCCGCCAATTTAGGACAGCTCACTTCAGCTCTATTTTTACCAACATCGTTTTCACTCAAATAAAATTGAGCCGACAGATCTGAGAAAGTGCAGCTAACAGTGTCATGCAATGTAACTGATTTCACTCCGCCAAGAATGACATTCTTGGCAATTTCTACACCAAGACCGCCGAGACCGCTTATCAATATGTCGGAAGAGGCCATTTTTCGCATAGCATCATGCCCCAACACGTAAAGCTGCCGAGAGTACAAACCCTCATCGATTTCTCCCACACCGTTTTTATTAGACATTGTTACCTGAGCGTTGGATAATACCTCTAAAGACACTGTAGACGGTTCACCGGAAGCCAGTTTACGCTTCTTGGCCGGCAATTCACAAGAGGTGTCCAGTACTTCAGCACCAGACATCGGATAATAAAAAACCAAGATAGAATAATAATTATTTCTTCATAGAAGAGTGTAAAAAACAATGCACTAGTTAACACTTAATGATGATGATGATGATGAGTGAGTATTTGATGGCATTAAAGTAGAACGGGTAAGTCGAGATATACGCAATGACCGTAAATCAGCGGACGGAGCGGCAAACAAAACAGCGCAATGATGTAACGTGCGACAGAGAAAGACGACGACGGCTCTCGGCAACCGACCAATGGTAACGCGACAAACACTACCGGTCGACCGGCTTTGCTCACACAGCGATTACGCGTCACCGGTACAAAGCCACCGAAAGACGCGCTGTATGTCTGTCTCGATCGCACTCGAACATCATGTTTTATCACGTTACCACTATCCGACGATACTTCAATGACTAATAAATGGCCGGCGTTATTATAGTACTCCTTGGCCTCCACATCAGCTGTTCCTAATAACCGCTTACCGGGCTTATAACTATCGGTCTATTAACATTTTTACTCAATAAAAAATACGTATTTCCCTTTCCAGTTTCCACTATACAGTTTAGAATTTAGTTTTAATTAAAATATTTCTACCGAATAACTCGAAAATTAACGTATAGTTAAAAATGATACAAATTAAAAAGATAGTATTAAAAATTGAAATTTATTAATTTATTCCTCAAATTTATTTTAAAAAATATAAATTTGTAAATTTGAATGTACCTCAAACTTTACATTATTACTGTATTATTTTAGTTTGAAACACTGTCATGATCCTGATCCAACAATTATTTCATTTAGCAGTTGGAATTCAGGAACCCACCTATTGATATCTTGTCTATGCTATTGACCAAGTTTAAAATATTTTCAAGTTATAATATTAATTATTAATTAATGATTATTTAATTTAAAATTTGTATGGAATACCCTTTAAGCATATATACTACTACCGATAAACATACCCTATTTTCCTATAAGGGGTGGAAAGTTTTTCTTTATTTCTCTTTTTAAGGTGAAGTTTTAAGCTCAAGGCCTGGAAATTGGACTAAAGGTGGATCTAGAATGGAACTGTAAAATGAACAATTTACTCAAAAATTTGTAGTTAACTTTTTTTTTTAAAAAAGCAAAACCCCCAAAAAAGGGGAAATTAATAATTATACCTAGACCTTGATCAATTTCTAGTGCTAAAATATTTTCATCATATTGTTAATTCAATATAATATAAGTAACGACGGCAATAAATTATTATAGAACATAGAATTATACTAGAAAAAACTGTTAAGCAAACTTATGGTTAAATATATAGTAAAGATATAAAATCTACTTGAACCCTAAACCATAAAAATTTTACACTTCTTGCGTACACGTGTTACGACAACGATGTTGTCATCTTCAGCGCTAACAACAGACTGACAGACAGAGTCTGTTGTTAGCGCTGAAGATGACAACATCGTTGTCGTAACACGTGTACGCAAGAAGTGTATAATTTTTATAGTTTAGGGTTCAAGTAGATTTTATATCTTTACCATAGAATTATAGATATATTGCTTATAACATGTAAATTATGGTAGCAGCTGCAACTTGTGGGATAACACCATTTATTCCAAATTGCATACGTTACTACCAAGGACCATTTTTTCCATCGTACATTTTTTTTCAATGGACAATGACTAGTTTCTTATCAGACCTTTTTAATTTAACTTTTAACCTGTAACCTCCTCCTAGACTGTAGTCTGCAAACCTAGGATATTTTTAGTTAAGTGGAGTGGATTGGGCGAGTGCCCACAGCTCAACAACAAAAACAAAGTACAAACCCGGTGACCGTATCATTACAAAATTCGCTCACTGATAAGAAACTCGTCAGAGACATTGGTAATTTATGTAATTTGGGAAAAGTGGTAGCTCCCCAGCTTGAAAGATTATTAAGTTGATAACAGAAAATTATGATAAAAATATGATAAGATCAGAAGAATGCAAGCCGTTTTTTGGCGGTTTACTTGTAAACCCCTTCTAAAAACGATTTATTGTTCTACAGATGTCATATTATTAAAAAAACCAATAATGGCTCAAAGAACTTTACTGTAAGTTGGTTTAAAAGCATCATTCGAAATATTTTTTTAAAATACTTTTTGTGCAGGTCCTACTTCAGCTCGAAGAATACTACTGAGAAATCAGTGCCAGTCACTCTAATAAATGAAACTTCTCCAGAGTAAGTTTTAATACTTTATTTTATGCTGGTTTTAATTACTGAAAACCGCACTTTGTTTAGTTAACTAAGTTTGTCTTTGGTTCTAAACCAAAAACTATTCAGAGGTCAGCCAAATAGCAGTTTAAAACATTGAAATAAAAGTGATGAACAACTATCTTTTTTTTTTAAGTTACAATTTTTCTTGTTGGCAAAATTTTTCACATCATCCTTGGAGTATTATAAGGACAAGAGATTATGTTTTTTCTGGGAATATCATAGAGTGATTAAATCACGATTAACCCTTCACTGCATAATGTTCCATTTATGGAACAATTTTATTTATTGTTTATATCTGCTCATGCTATACATCTTTGATGCACAATATTCCATATTTGGTACAATTCTTTAATTAGCGTTTTCCATGAGACCAAAACTAAAAAAAAAATTATTTTTATATTTTTAAGTAGTATTAAGTACATTTATAGCATATGGTTAAAAAAAAAATTCACGCAGTGTAGGGTTAAATTAGCACTTAAATGTAAAACTGTAGATAATAAAAAAGTATTGAATATACTTTGATTGATAATAAATGAGTTTATAGCCATATTACTTGATTGGTTCCCTAGTTAAGAAAGCATTACTACAGATATTTAAAAATACAATTTTAAATAGGAACAATACATACTTAATTACGTTTTTGAGTTTAAACTAATAAGTAAATGATAGGGAAATAAGAAATTAATAATAAACATTTATACAAACTTTAACATCATGAAATAATTGTTTTTTAGTAATTCATTAATTCAGTAAAAACAAAAACAAAATTAAACCATATCACTGCAAAAAAATTCCTTCTCAGTTCCACATTAAAGCTAAAGTAGTAATTTGTAAAATATTTTTTGTGTGGAAAGTAGAGAAGAAGATTAGTATTCATCCTCAGCTGTAGAGCAAAGAATTTTTTTGATTTAAAATATTTATGTTATTAAAGTTACATCTACTTTATAATTTTCATTTGTTTTTTTACTTACAGAGAATTAGAAGTATCGCGTTCACTTATAAGTCCTGTAAAAACATATGGTAAAAGGAAGAAACAAGCAGTGTTATTTAGTGACAGTAGTGATGAAGACACAATTAAAGAAAAGTAAAAAAAAAAATGAGATCATATTTGAATAGCTTTTTGTTTTTATCGGAACCTAATTATGTACTATTTTTATTAGTAAAAGAGTATGTGAGAAAGATTCTCCGTTACACACAGAAAATTGTACCAATAAAACTGTTGATGATAAATCAGAAGAAATTAAAGACCTCAATAAAGATAAAGGATCAAGTCTTATTCCAAAGAAAGAAGAAATTACTAACAATGAGTTAAATTTAAAATTGTTAAATAATTCTCCAGAAAGTAAAAAAGAAATGTCTGAATGTAATTATGATCCTACGAAAAAAAAATATCATCCTATTAAAGATGCTTTTTGGAACCATGGTGAAGCGTAAGTGCATTATATAAGTTTACTACAATCGTAGGTGTTATTCTAAAATTATTTGTACTATTAAAGTATTACAGCATACATATGTAAGTTAAATTGTTTAAACTACAGAATTGTCCTTTAATGATGAGAAAGTTCCTTTTTTAATGAACTAGTTATTTTCATTCATGATTTTAGAAAACAATTTAAATTCCTAGTTGTTAAATTTAAAAGGAATTAATTAGTTCTAAGCTTCAATCCTATAAAATTAACTTTTACCAGGAATCTGTTTATTTTAAAATTCACTCCTTCTCAATGCTATTATACTATACCTTAATTTATTAATGTTAATAAATAAACATTTATTAAACAATATATTAAGTTTTGACTAGTGTTTTAATTTTTAAAGGACCCCATATTGCGCCCTGACAAAAACACTGATGTTCATCGAGGAAGTTAGTGCTAGACTGAAAATTATTGAAATTCTCTCCAATTACTTTCGTTCTGTAATTGTGCTTAGTCCTAATGACTTATTACCCAGTGTATATTTGTGCCTAAACAAAGTCGCTCCAGATTATGCTGGTTTGGAGTTAGGTATTGCAGAAACATCATTAATGAAGGTTTGTATAAAATAATTCTTACATCTAGTTACAGTTGCACAAATGTATTTTTTAAAACAACCTTTAAACAATACCTCATTATCTTGTATGTAACTTTGAGGAGTTTTAATTATGAACTTGAATTTTAAGTGGAGGATATTTTTTTAAGATTTATAATATACAGCATTTTTATATTTTTTTTTACTTATACTATGTAATTTTTCATCCTAAAACACTGTCAAATTTTGATTTATTTTAGTGTATCATTTGAATTTTAAAATAATGCTAATACTAATTTGTAAAAAATAATTTATTTGTGATTGTGGTTATGTCATTTTATAAACAAAAAAATGAGTTGCCCTGCTTATAATTGCAAGAGTCACATTGACAGGTTTATTTTAAGAATTAAATTTACATAAATAATAGTATTAAGCATGAAGCGTTATTATAGTAGTTAAATAGTTGTATTTATTTTAAAGTTTATTATATTCTAGGCGATTGTTCAAACAACTGGACGGAGTATGGCACAAGTAAAAATTGATGTTAGCAAAACAGGTGACCTTGGAACAGTTGCTGAAAAGAGTAAAAGTAATCAAAAAACTATGTTCAAGCCTGCTCGTTTAACAGTAAAAACAGTTTTTAACAAACTGAAAGAAATTTCGGAAATGACTGGTCATGCTGTAAATAAATTTTAATTATACAAAATAAAAAAAAAAATTGTTACTTGTTGGTTTTACGTTAATGTTTTTAAATAGGTATTAACAAAAAAAGTCGACAAAATACAATCAATGTTTATTGCTTGTCAGGACTCTGAAGCAAGATTCTTGATGCGATCACTAGCTGGTAAACTAAGAATAGGACTTGCAGAACAGTCTGTATTACAAGTGAGATTTTGTATTTGCTTACTTAAAATTCATTATCAACCCAGCATGTTGAAGCAAAACACAGTCAAAGTCCAGAATTAGTTTTTTTCTATTAATATGATTATTATTATTAATTATTATAAACTATTTAGAGCAACAGTAAATCACAGTTTGTTATCAACCAATAATGTCAAAAAGATTATAACAATGATTTACAAGGATTTTTAAATTTGAACTAAGTCTATTTTACAATATTCTCAACACACATAAACTATTAAGACAACATTTATGATTTTGCACTTGGTGTGTTTTGCATGAACGGGGTCAATTTATACTTTAAATTAATATACTTGTATTTTAGGCTCTCGCTTTAGCTTGTACAATAACACCACCGGCTCAAAATTACCCACCAAATATTATTAACATAACAAAAAAAATGAATGAAGAAAAATTTAAGAAGCTTTATGATGAAACATCCCTAACTATAAAGACTACTTATTGGTATGTATAAATATTGATCTGAAACTAAGTTAATAAATATTTTCAAATTTGAATAAAAAATGTATTTTAGTGAAAGTCCAAACTTAGATGCCATTATACCAATTATTCTTGAAAAGGGTGTTGATGTATTACCGGAGAACTGTAAACTAACCCCTGGAGTACCTTTAAAACCAATGTTAGCACATCCAACTAAAGGTGTACACGAAGTTCTTAATAGGTTTGATGGATTAAAATTCACTTGTGAATGGAAATATGATGGAGAACGAGCTCAGGTTGATAAAACTATAGTTTTTGATAATTTATTTTTACATAACATTTTTTGTCAATATTAAAATTACTTGTTTGGGTTTGAAGATTCATTTGACTGAAGATGGAAAAACATACATTTACAGTCGCAATCAAGAAAATAATACTAGTAAATATCCAGATATTTTGAATCGCCTGGATCTTGTAAAAGGGCCTAACGTCAAATCATTTGTAATGGATTCAGAAGCCGTTGCGTGGGATAGAGAAAAGAAAAAAATCATGCCTTTCCAAATTTTAAGTACTCGCAAAAGAAAAGTAAGTTTTTTATTGTATATAATATAATATATGTAATACTAAATTTTGTACACTATTGCGTAGAATGCTAATGAAGATGATATTAAAGTACAAGTTTGTGTATTCATGTTTGATTTACTTTATCTAAATGGTGAACCATTAGTTAAACGACCATTTTGTGAACGTCGCAAATTGTTAAAAGAAAATTTTGTTGAAGTAGAAGAACAATTTTTATTGGCTACATCATTAGATACTACTACCATGGAAGAAGTTCAAGACTTTTTAGAAGAATCTATTAAAGGTGTGTATTATTAGAAGACCTCGATGAATGCTACATAATACTTACTTTTCAATTTTAATTATAATTTTCTCTATATGCCTAGTTACCTTAAACTAAATGAATCACAAATGACGACTTTTTTAATATCTATATAAACTAATTAATTATTTTATTTAGGCAACTGTGAAGGTCTAATGGTTAAAACTCTAGAAGAAGATGCTACATATGAAATAGCGAAACGATCTCGTAATTGGTTAAAACTGAAGAAAGATTATTTAGATGGTGTTGGAGACACTATTGATGTAGTTGTCTTAGGTGGATATTTAGGTCGAGGAAAACGTACTGGTACTTATGGAGGTTTCTTATTGGCATGTTATGACCCAGATAGCGAAGAATATCAAAGCATATGTAAAGTAAGGATTATTACATTCTTTAATAGTTAATTAAATAAAAGTATATTTATTAATACATATCTTAAGAATCAGTGTTTAATCTGTTACTGCCAGAATATAGCTATATCATATATGAATAAAAACAGTGTTTACAACAGCCGGGGTCATAGAGTGTATGAGGAATGACCTTGTATGACTACAGAAGACCCTAAATTATGACAATTTAAAGTCATATCGATGGCCGCCACAGACACTATTTTCAGGAGAGCCAAATAACCTTATTTTCCTATTTAATATTATGTTCAATAGTTAAACTTAAGCTAAACTGATTAAATTTATGTGGACAGTCATTGTTATGATATTGTTGTCATATTCATGAAATTAAATGTAAAAAAAAAAATAATTTCAATTTAATTTATTAAATTGAAATTATTAGTTATTAATTATCAGATATGTCCACATTTTTTATTTCCTGGTTTTCTGCTTATATGTTTTTGTATTTACTTGACTCAGGGTTCAAACAGATGTATCCACTAATTTGGCTTGTACGTCCATTCAATGCCTGATTCTTTTATATCTGTTAAGAAAATATCAAAACAGGCAGATACTGCTTAAAGGAAAATTTTAATTTCTCGGTAATGGTTGTTTTAGCTACAGTCACTAGAGTGGGCTCATTCGATGTAGTTTGTTTTTTCTAATATTAATCTATTGCTATGGCGGATATGGCTGTTTGCCCTCAATATGGCGGTTAACATGTTAAATGTTAATGTATTCAAAGCTTTATACATGCTTACAAATTTTAATAGTACATTTATTATAACTATAGATTGGAACTGGATTTAGTGATGATGATCTGCAAAAGCATACAGAGTTCTTTAAAGAACATATTATTGAACAACCTAGAAGTTATTACCGTTATGATCAAAGTCATGAACCAGATCATTGGTTTGAAACTGTTCAAGTGTGGGAAATAAAATGTGCGGATTTATCACTTTCTCCAGTACATAGAGCAGCACTAGGTATTGTAGATCCAGAAAAAGGAATTTCTTTAAGATTTCCACGATTTCTCCGTGTACGAGATGATAAATCTATTGAACAATCTACATCAGCTCAACAGGTTAGAATTATAATTTTTAAGTTAAACTTCAAAAATTTTTAACAACATAAATTAATGTTATAATTGTTAAATTTACTAGATAGTAAATTAATAAATAATAAACAGTTTGGCTATTTATCATTGTTTTCTCTAATTTAATCTAATTTGTAATTTCTCGTTTTAGACTCCAAATATATGTATAATAAGATATAGGATAAGCTTATTATATAAAAATAATTGAAAAGTCCGTAAGATACAGTAGTATATTTTTAAATTGCTATAACTTTAATTTATTTTTATAACTTGTTTTCGTAAAAATATACAGACTTTCACAAACATTATATTATAATAGTATTTATCACGTTAACTAGAATAATTTTTATTTTTACTCATTTTATTTACAATTGATTAAGGTGCAAGATATGATACCCTGACAAAATATAAATTACATGCTTATTCAATGTTGGAAAACAAATTATATAAGTATAGGCACTATTGTTTTCAATATTTGGTTACAAAATTTTATTTCACACTGAAATAAAAACTACAAGAATTCATGAGATTTTTTTCTAGATATAAGAAATTATTTGTAAATACATCTTACATAATGTAACGAATGGATTTCAGATTGCGGAATTATATCATAGTCAAGTTCAGATTCAAAATCAAGGAAACTCGAATATTAATAAAGAAGATTTTTATTAAGTCAGTATACTATAAAATAGACTTAAGAATTAATAAAAAAATGCATGTAGTAATTTAAAAAATATTTCTTTATTAATGTATGCTTTATATTTATTTATAAACAATACACTTTGTACTTATTAATACTAGATTATATTTAAAAAAATATACATTTTACTACTATTTAAAAAAAATGTACGGTTTTATTTGTTGTTTAGTCTAAAATATAGTTTAAGATATTGCTAAGAATGAAAAGAAATACCCATTTAATTGTGTGGTTTTATATTATGATTGAATTGATCATATGCATATCAACGTCCACTAAAGTAATATATTTTATATTAAATCAAGTATAGAATAGGTCACTTTTTACGGACAGAATTTTAGATCTTTTTTAATATAGTTTAACAACTTATCGAATAAAACATTGTACACAACGTAAACCTAAAAGAATATAAACTTTTTTATTGGTAATCTTTATTCTTGTATAATACAAATTCCTCATTTGGCTGCAGTGAGCATACACTTAACATACAAAATAAAATAAATTTGAGTATGTGTGTGACAATGTGTTAAATACTTAAAAATTTTAATTACTTAGCTTAAATAATACATAAAATTTATATAAAATGAGCAACTTACAAAATTCAATAAAATATGTAAAACATAGTATTATATTTTTTCTTGGAATACAATAAAAAAACAAAGTACATTAAATATTTTGCGACTGTCGTTAAATTAAGTATTGATAATTAAAATATATAAGTAAAATATAATTTATTTTGTTGACTAGCACAATACGATTAAACAAAATACAAAATTAATTGATGAATATTTTACCTATTTTAGTTTCAATTGAAAAAGTCGTCACATTTTTCATGTTTAGTCAGTATTAGTCGGTCTGGGTTTAAACCAAAATCGTACAATAAACTGTATAGTTCTGCCCTGGAACTAGCTGTTAAATCTCTATCTCTTCCCAAAACCCAAACGATATCTGTAAATGAATTATTTTTAAATGTGGATAGTATCATAGATTAAGTACATTAAATAGTAATTTAATCTATAATATTATTAATAACGTTTAATTCGACCAAAATAATTTTCTAACGCATAAATTACCTATAGTTTGGAATAAAAATAGCCAACATTTTAATTACAAACAAAATAAAAATATTAATAAATAAATACTGCTTACAAAATAATTTTTACTTAAATTTTTTAATTTTGAAACAGATTAAACAAACTGATATTGTTCGGGATTGTTCATATTATGTTGTAGTAATTCTTAAGTTTCATACGGTAAGTTATTATTAGGTTATGGAGGAAAATAGATGAGCAATTAAGTTATGATTTTGTGTAAAATTAATATTTTAAGGCACTCAAAAACGTGGGGTGAGAAATTTTGTTACGTACCTACTCATTTAGGCGATATGAGTTGAGTATAGGCGAAAAACGATTAAAAATTTAGTTCGCATACTTAAATAGATAAAGAATCTTAGTAAGCCCCACACATAAATTTTCGTTCATATTTCTAAACTAGTAAATTATCTTAATATTTTCGGTTGTAACTCTAGAACGCTTTGGGATAAAACAGTTATGTTTATTAAAATATAAACCTTAAGACCTTTGATTTTGTATACATGTTTAATGTTATACAATACGGTTAAATTGTTTTTTTTTAAATTTATATTTCTTATTTTAGAGCCTTAAATTACCCATTCTCCTTTCTCTTGATTATTATTGTTAAAATAATATAAGAAAAAATCGTTTTAAAATTAATTTATAATAATATATAAGTGTATAAAATTTTTCTTCTAAATTGATCACATAATAAAAATATAAATCTGCGTTTAGGTAAGGAAAATAATTAAAAACTATTTTTTAATAGTTATAAAATAATTAATATTAATAAAGAATCGTCATAACTTATGACCATACTAATTTAAAATATACATAATTATTGTAGTAACGAAATTAATACTTCGCAATACATTGTCTATATAGTACTCTTTAACAAATGGGGTGTATACTTCATGTTTATACCTCTGGGTTCTCTAATTAAAACTCAAAATATAAAATACATTGCGTGCCTAGGGCCATCCCTACAACTTGCCGAGACTTGAAAACTTTAAATGCCTCGAGGCAAAAATTAAATAAATGTCCATTTTTTTTTTTAACTTAAAACAAAGTTGAAAACATTCTGTGCTTAAAAATGTGAGCAGTCACTGTCCTCTCTCTTCTTATTTAAACCTCTTTTATATAATAAAAGGTAGGTACTAAAGATCTCGACATCGTGACAAAAGTCCAAGTTGCACAGTCTTATTATATAGAAACGGTTTTGAGCTTAATGTATAAAATAATGCACTCGGAGAGCCAAAACCAAGTTCGTATATTTTATTTATAGTGTTAATAATAAATATAAAAATTTAGTCACGTTCAAATTAAGAGTGGTGTTGTGAATTATATTTTTTTTTCTCTTAGACCTAGTTAGTAGTTTTATGGTTTAACCGTTCTTTCCCGATGAACAGTTAATTGGCATCAATCAGACAATGTAATACGATTATCGTACGTGTAATTTGAGCGCGTCTTTGGAGCTGGTGCTTGAAAAATATGTAATCGCAGAACAACACAATATACTAGTTATTTTTAATTAGTTACCCGAGTGAAACAGCCCAAAACTCGTACACGACCATAATATTGTGTAATTCTTGTAGTCTGAGTATATTATGTAGTAGAGACCCGACGTGGGAGCCATGCGTGATAACACATTGGGCAACCGGCTGTCGGCCTGATACTTGAGCACTGCGTTATGTTTGGATATGAGCGTGGCGGTACCAGAAAACACATTAGGATTTCCAGTTCTACATTACAGCATAATAATAAATAACAAATTTAAACATGTTTTATTTAATCAGTGATCCGAAGTTGACTACGATTACAATATTCCTTAAAGAAAAAACATTTTTTAAAATTTATCCTAGACGAATATTGGCATTAACAGCTATTAGTCGCTACTTTTTTTTTTGCGTGAAAACAAGTCTAGGGAGATGGTACATTTCTCCAGAAAAATAAATCTCCTGAGACACGTTTATGAACAATAATGGGCAATGGGTAAACAACTGCGTTGTAATATTCAGAAACAAATATTATACATGTATAATAAAACAATATGGATTTATTTTTGCTATGGTAATTAACATTTAACATTCTACCATAATTTCAAAATTACCTAAGCAGCTAAGTTTTACTCTTTAATACAAATAGGTAAAGGCCTAAAAGAGGAAATAATGTCTAATACGTGATACCAGTAGGATAATTTAAAAAATATCTATGAATTAAAATTGTATAAAGATGTTATTGAGAAACGATTTATAATATCAACTGACTTTGTTCACACAAATTAAAAGTTCATACCTCTAATTGGATGTTTTTATTTTTCTCTATGGCTATTATTTGAGTGATACTGTTAAGTCAACTGTGTAGACCTTCTAATATAGCGTGACTTAATTCATATTAACTATTAATACTACATTAACTTTACCTATCGTGTTTTTAGAATAATAATGTATATTGTAAAATAATACTTAAAAGATTAACATTTATAAAATGCAATTCGTATAATATACTCAATTCTTTGTCGGAGTAAATATATATTGTAATACAATTTCTGATTATAGGATGATAATTAATATTATTTTAAATTTAAGATTTTAGTACAGATAATTTTGACTGGAGTCAATTCCGGACCACTCTAGCTCTAGGCTGTAAGCCAAAAGAAGCTACTAATGCGACTGCAGTTTTTATTAAAATAAAATATTACTCACATCCGGTTTTTAGTACCCACGTAGACTTTGAAAGATCCGTCGGCATTTGATGTAAAGTTAAACGAAGTACAACTGGCTGCCATTTCCATCATGTAAAATGATTTTTCTACTTCAAACCATTGTCCTTCAAACTAATTATACGCGGATATTATTGATCCGTTAAGTGTTTATAAATAATTATACAAATACATGTATACTACTAAATAACTTATAGCGCAATGTGTATTTCTATTTACTTTACCTCTTTCGTGTTGAAATTCTTCATCGTTTCTTTTTTCGGACATTTCCCCAGACTCTGGCTGACTACGCTGTCCAGGACTAGCACAAACCATAAAACCTGACATAACTTGATTACATTACAGTAACCCATAGCATAGCCGACCCGCGACCGAACTAGGCACTCGCAAGTCACAACTGACCACTCAAAAAAAAATAAAATACAAACTCTCCAAGAAAGGTCATCGGTCCACAAAGCCGTGTGTCAATAAGATTAGTCGCGGTGTTTTCTCGTTTTGTGGGGCCGACAGTAATAAAGAATAATGTTACCAGGTGAACGGGTTCCTTAACTACGCCGAAGCATAATAATCTAATATAGTCTCTCCTACTGGCATACATTTCAACTTCTACCACCACAAAAACCTACTCTCGACCATTTGAAATCCCAAAAAAAAAGAACAGCTCACTTTCGCTACATCTCATTTTCCAATCGCCAGACACTGACGCGTGCCTATTATCTGTTTAGTTATTCTTAATTACCGTAACCAACACACGTGCGGTAAAATTGGCTAGGTTATTAATTTTCATGTGTAAGCCATATGCCCATCTCGTCAAGTAGGTACTATTAGCCGCTATTCTGCCTATTTTGTTTTTATTAATTCAAATCAAATCAGTCAATAAATATATCATGCATAGGTAATATCTACATTGAATTGATGTAACGTACCAGTTAGGAAAGTTAAACCAGTTATTTGCCTTGTGTTGTAATTTTATGCTGAAAAGTAAAACCCTCCGTTAAATGATAAATTACCTTTAAATAATATTAAACTCGCCGCAACCTGTACAGTTAACATTTTGAAATCTATGATTGACAATCAAAGTATATATAGTATAGAAAAGTGTTTTAAACATTTTCAAGTTGTGTTTTTAAGGGGCAAGAGTTGATCATTTTATGCTAATTATAACATTTATTCAAATCGACTCTTATCCAAAATGACACTCCCCCCCCCAATTTCTTATTTAACTAACACTGTAATTAAGCATAGCAACTCAATTAGTTGGCAATAGGTCCAGTAGTGAGGTCAAGGTAAATCAATTAATCGAAAGTGGTACGATCATAGACCATAGCCACAAACACTTAGATGCGAATTTGGGAGGTCTACCGATTAGTACAAAAAAGTTCTATTAGAAATATTGGAATAGTATTTTTATAAATACTAACTGAAACTGAACTGTAAGTAAAAGAAATTCCCACAAAACGCCTATTTTTTACATTTATATTAATATTTGAATATTTTAATAAACTTAATTATTAAAAGTCTATAAAGTGCTATAAATAATTAACATCCTTATTAATGAAAAAGTCTAGAGAAAAAAATAAAAAATGATTATATCTATTATTTATTAATGAAACCCTATATGATATTACTCATTTTATTTAAAATACGAAAGTACACGTACATGAATATAAAAAGTAATAGACTTAGTACTGACTCGTTGGAAGTCCCAATGAGAAATTAACACAATACGTCCATAACCTCTCCGTGGCTCTTTCTAAATTAGTTTGATATTTGGTTCCTACTTGACGTTATCATTACAGCCACAACATTAAACAATTGCCATAAGCGCCTAATAACTCGGTACTCGGTAGTTTATAATATTTACCAGACAGTTGATACTATAAATGGTTCACTTGTTATTCTGGGAGCACATAGAAGTGAAACAGAATTAATTTAACATAGAATTAGCTTTAACTCTACGGTCAATATCACTACAATTTAGAAAACAAAATATATTCATGTTTGCATGTGTATCTTACAGTTAGCTTAAGCGCGTTTCTTAAGTTTTAACAAGCTTGTAAATTTTACCATTTCCGCGAAGCTACAAGACAAGATCTTTACAAGGTCTTTCATAAATTCTGTTACAGAAATATTTATTTTAGCCAAAAACATCTTTATTATTTTAAATGATAAACAATAAATGTTTAAGTTCAAATAATAATGTTAAATAAATAAATATGTTTATAAATAAAAAATATTGTTATTAATTATTGTTTTTAGCCTTTAGGAATAGATTTCGATGGGAACTTTAAAAGTTTAATTGCCAGCTAGTTATAAAACATTTTTTTTTACTTATGAAAAGAGCAGTTTAAAAGTTTCTAATTATACTTATTACGTTTACCTTATTGAAAAAAAGTTAGATGCACATTACTAAAAATTAAAGCTATTATACTAAAACCTAGAATTAAAAAATACTTCCTTAGTTCCAAAGCATACATTTTAAACATGTAATATAAACGATGGGTACAATTTTAAATATGTAATACAATAATTACATTTAAATTTGGTTAAAGCTTCCAGCAATGCGATGATTAATTACTTGTAATTGTTAAAAAGTAACATTAAAAGTAATTATCCAAAACTGGTTAGCGACCGGTCAACATTTTCAGAAAATTTGTATTAATTTGAAATGTTATTAAAATATGAATGTTACCATATAAGTTGATAAAGTCCTAAAAAATTACTAAAAAAGATAAAACCTTATATATTGTCTCATATTGTAATATAGCATAAACAAAAATCTTTTCAAAAAGAAAAATTACAAAATATCAATTATTTTTAAGAGAAAACTGGTGTAGGGCGTTAAAAGAATCATCCAGTCTATACAGCGAACAGTAGATATTTAGCCTTATAAAAAACCTATATTATTTATATTGTCTATTTTATTATACTCTTAAATCAAATTTGTATTGTTTTTTAAGTAAATATGAAAATGAGAGAAGAAAGTATATTATTTAATAACACAATAATAAGGAGAAAGTAAATGAATATTAAAAATTATTAAGTAAAAATCTCAATGCATTATTGACGCATGAACATGGATTAAGAGGACGCCATTCCCCTAATTTCTAAGGAGTAAATTATGGGCAATTTTTCGTAAAGTCTTAATTTAAAGCTTGTTTATTGTGTATACTTATTTATATGGTAATGATGATTCTTTATTGGTTGTTACTTTTTTGTCAGACTATCACAGTATTTTCTATAGGATAAATAACATCTATAAGAAGCTGTATCTGTGTCATAGCGTTTTTATTTTTTTATCAAGACTTATTATAACTTTAAATAAACAAATGAAAAAAAAACAATCTTTACGAATGAATAACATGAGTTGTGTACCTAGTTATCGACAAATTAAAAACGCTACGACACAGTTAATGTTCTTCTCTATGTACTGTAAAACTTTTGTAACTCTACTACGAGTACAGCCAAAACCTAACTTAATCTAAAATTGTCCTCCAACAACAAATCAACGGTTTTGCAGCCAAAATATGGGTGGTGTGGCATCCTCCTAATTTTTTTAAATTCCAATGTTTCAATAGTGCACGGCCAATAGATTTTTAAACTCTAAATTGATACCTATGAGATAAAAAACTACTTAACTTAATAATTAGTAATATAAGTTTTTTTTTATGGAAATAAGAACTATTTGACATCCTCCCATCACGCCCATACGTTTTTTAATATTAATTAATTACCATATTAGTTAATTAATGAATTTTTTAATATTTTATTAGCAGTGGGGTGTTTAAAACACCTCTAGCCCCTAGGACATGCAAATAACGGTTAATATTATGTGATATAAAACGTAAACCCTAATTAGCAATATATTATTAAAAAAATAATAAAAACAAAAACAAATAGAATAATGTATTATGCGAAGTATAACGGTAAATTTTTAATCGATACTAAGCGAATAATATTGTTGGAATAAATCACACAGTATAAGTGGATTATGGAATACAATAAAAAAAATTGTATAAAATATAATTTAATAGGTGGCATTTTTTTTTTGTCATAGTGGTATTATATTGAAACCACCCTTTAAATGTTTTTTTTGGGGGTTGTGAATTATAGAATCTTATTGAAACCACCATCAAAATAATTTGAAAAAATAAAAACAAAATTAATGTGTGACTCAATAGGGTTAAACAATAACTTGCCGAATCGTATAGTTTAAATGTATTCAGTCATGCAGTTTTCATTCAAATGATTATTTGATAGTTCGCATAAACTCAATATAGTCAAAAGTATTCAGTTGCGCCCATCACTAAACACGAATGACGGCGGGCGGCCGCTGAAAGGCAAATTTCTCAATAGAAAAGATTTTTTTATCATAGTTTGTGCCCGTTATCACATATTATTCTGTGGTTTTACCATATCAGTCTTATCTCTTATAACTTCCACAACTTAAAAGTCTCAAATTTTGAATTAATTAAAATAAAGTAAAGTAACGTAGTTGTATAAACAGTTTTTGTTTTATAAAACTAAAGTATTTAAATATATTTTTGTTATTACAATGATTTCCTCTGGCTTTAGTGGTGCTTTAAAGTTAACAGATTTAGATGATTTTATAACGCCCTCGCTGGTAAGTTATTTCCCATGTTATATGAAGTATTTAATTGTATAACATAAACCTACAAATTAAATTTGAGCATACAATATATATATTTTTACAGGAATGTATAAAGCCAGTACAGTTTGAAAAATCGATTGGTACAGGTGCTAAAATCAAGATTGGAGAAGATGGGTCTTATACACAAGAGACTATAGTAATAAACGATTTATAGTACTTATTTTTGGTTTTTGAAGCATAATTTTTCTCTTTTTTTTTTGTTTTTCTTTAATAAAAAAAAAGTTTGAATTCATGTTTTTGAGAAAATTGTATATGTTATAGCCGCATTCTAGATTTACCTAAATGTCATAATTTTTAAGTTGAAAAATATGTACATTGTTTGGGTGTTTTTCATGATTTTAAAGGGGTAAGGGAGAATTTTTTACATTCTTGGCCCTGTATAGTACTATTGGGTACGATTTCTGATCCATAAACTTGGTACATGAAGAAATCAGTTTAGAGATTTAAAAGATATCAATAGTCTAGACTCAAATAATTAAAATTAAATAAAACTGATCATTGTAAAAACAATACATTCTCAGCTCCGTAATATTTTTCTACTATGTGTGTGATATTATTAACAAATAGTTTGTTTAATTTTAGAGTGGCAAAGTTGAAAAATTGAAGCAAGTAGAAATTTCATTAACAGACTGTTTAGCTTGCAGTGGTTGTATAACTTCAGCTGAAACTGTACTTATTCAACAACAAAGCACAGATGAGATGATGCGAGTTTTCAATGAACAACATGTACATATTTTGGTATTACAATTTTAGATTTATATTACCTGTACTAATAATGTGCTATATTTATTTTCTTAAATAACTAAATAATACAATATTATAATTGTATGACCATAGGATGAAATTAATAGAAAATTCATTGTAGTGTCATTATCCATCCAAGCTTGCATTTCATTTGCTGTTAGTAAAAAATTATCTGTTCAAGAGTCCACGTTGAAGTTATGTGGTATGATATACTTATTGAAGTAATTAATGTAAATTGAGTTTAAACTCAAGAACTTGGCCATTAAGAAGCAAATGTTAATTTTTATTATGTCAAGTTAAAATTATGTAGTTCTAATTTCTTAGAAAATATTTTTGCTGCTTGAATAATGGCCAAGTTAATGAGATTCTACTGTAATGTATTTTTATATTATACAGCAATACTTACAATTATGGGGGTCATGGTGAGAGCCTGCACGTGGCGTCCCCCACATAGCGATATAACCCAGACTAGGATATATCGCTAACTAATCTCACCACCACCGGGCGAATAAAGATGCTTACCAACAAAGCATCTATTTTATAGCCTGGACACGATAAGAAGAAGACTTACAATTACAATTATTGTTTATAATTAAAATTTATCAATAATTATTACTTTGCTATTTTATTTTAAGGATATTTCAAAAAATTGGGAGCAAACCTAGTATTTGATCTAAAGTTAGCTGAAGACTTGGCATTAATAGAATCGCAGAATGAATTTGTGGAAAGATATCAATCAGCTAAATGTCTGAAATCGAATAAAATACTACCTATGTTAGCATCATCATGCCCAGGTAAATGTTACTTTGACAAAAACTGGTTAGACTACTAAACATGTAACTTTAAACTCTACATATTGTATACAAATATGGTACACTTAGAATAAAAAGTTATGAAGAATTAGTCAAACATTCAAAATAAAGCCAAATTGAAAATTAAAAGTTAAAAGCTCATTTGCCTAAAGTGGCAATAAGTAAGAATGGCCTTTGTCCCCAAGTGAATAATATACTATATTATTTAAACTAATATTTAGTTATTTGATAGAAATTGTACTTCCCCTACATCAAGTATGACATGTAAAATCATCAATTATGTTCTTTAAATTTTAGACGGCGCAAACAATTTTATTTTCATCTAAATAACAAATGATTTAGTAGTGTAGTTATAAAGAAAGACAATGTGTGTACTCACTTTTCTATATACACATGTATTCATAACAAAAAATGCAAACCCTAAGCCCTAAGGCTACATCACTGATAATATTTTGTATAATTTAACTACATTTTCTAGGGAACAATAAGGTTTTGTTTATACATTTATTTTAATACTAACGCATTGTTTTATTATTTTTAGGTTGGGTATGTTATGCAGAAAAGACTCATGGTAATTTTATTCTACCCTACATTAGCCGTGTAAAATCACCTCAACAAATCATGGGTACACTCATAAAAAATTACATTTCAAAATTAAAGAATAAGTTGAAAAAAGATATATACCATATAACAGTTATGCCATGTTTTGACAAAAAATTGGAAGCATCTAGAGATCAATTTTTTGATGTAGATTCTCAGACTAAAGATGTTGACTGTGTAGTCACATCAAGTAAGTATAAACAAATTATAAAATAATCCGATATGTAAACGTGAAATGAGGTAAAATTTGTCATATTTGGTTTAGGAATACTGAATGAATTGCTCATATTATTAGAATATTCAAATTTGGTAAACATAAATAATAAATTTAATTATCTACATATTTGCAATCGTAGCATAAAGCGAACTCGGTACTAAAAGTATAATGTTCAGTTCCTGTACCACTATGAAAGAGATGTGCCATGTACTAGCTTTGCTTATTTAAAAGAGGAAAACATTAAGTTTTATTTCAATTTCATACACGAATTATACATTAATAATATTTGATTTATTTTCATATTATTATTTTAGTTGAGTTGGAAGCTTTAATGGTTAAGGAAAATATACATTTTGAAGATATTAGTTGTGAAGAGTTTGATATAATGATAGAAACAGATTTAAATTGTAATTCCCAATTGTCAACAAATACAGGATCTGGATCTGGTGGATATGCCCATAATATTTTTCGCCACGCTGCTCTCCAACTATTTAACATCAATGTTGAAAAAATTGTGTTCAAACCTCTTAGGTGATTTTAATAGAAGTTATACTGCCCATTACCATCTAGTATTATGATAGTGGTTCAAGAATAATGTGTTATTTATTCTCAACAGGAATTTCGATATGAAAGAAGCCATACTGGAAGTCAATGGAACTGTTCTTTTACGTTTTGCGATTGCCAATGGTTTTAGAAATATTCAAAATCTAGTACAAAAATTAAAAAGCAAAAGATGTCCTTATGATTATGTAGAAGTAATGGCATGTCCATCAGGTAAACTTGATAAAACTAATAAGCTAGGAAAAAAAATTTACTAAATAAGTGTAATATAATATATAGTTACAATGTTCATTACTTAAGGTAGGTTATTTGAGCAGCGAGAGTAAATTTACCTTATGAGTTTTACTATTAAAATTTAAAAAAAAAACATGGCGCTTTATATGTATGAGTTTTATAAAAAAATGTATAATATGATTTTTTCTAGGATGTCTTAATGGTGGTGCTCAAGTAAAACAAATAGAACTAAAGCCAAACAGAGAATTCATTAACAAATTGGAACATATTTATGATGATTTGCCTAAAACCTTTCCAGCAGACAGTATCAATGTAAAACATCTGTACACAAATTGGTTAAATGAGAATAACAAAAATGAGTATTTATGTACAACTTACAGAGAAATAAAAAAAATTGATCAACCATTAAATATTAAATGGTAGACTAATGCAACCTATAAAATTGTTTCTGTATTATAAATATTGATAAAGTTAGCTAATTATATATTTTTTTTGTGTGCATCATTCTTGTTTCTGTTAACCGTCCGTTGTATTACTTTAAATCACAAAAATAAGCTCAAGATTCCTTTTTTATTTTGCAATGTGTAATGTTTATAATTAAGTTGTATTATTTTATGAAGATGTCTTTAACAACGATAAAACCTTAATAATTGATTGTTCTATCTACAAAATTATCATAATATCATACAATATTAATACTTACTCGTAATTTTATTATGTATAAAATTTCGAAAAACAATGTTTAAATTAAACCATCGATATAATTTCTCAGATATTCAAAACCGCTAATAAAAAAAGTATAAAGGCAGTTTTATCATTCTGATAATCTCTTAAAAATAATAGTAATTAAATAATTAAATAATTAAAAAATGGTTCAGTAACTAAAAAAAACAATAAGATTAATTAGAAATAAAATATATGATAAAACTTTATGCAAATTGTGTTATCTTAAGATATCAAAAATAACGCTTTAAATAAAACAATTTTTATGTTTACATATTTTTTTTTAGAATTAAATAATTGTTATTTGTTTTTATTATGTAGTTATTATTTTCATTATGTCATTATAAAATTTTTATTATAAAAATCTCAGAAATCATCTATAATTATTAGTTGCAGACCTTTAGTAACAGTACAATACACAACACATTGGGTATTTTATAAATGTATATTGTCAATTACTATATTCGATCACTAAGCATATATCCTGTATCCATGTAAGAAAGCCTATAATATTAGTATAACTAATTAATATACTAATTTATAAACTTAACATGTAGCAACTATGCATAGGTACTTGTATGCCTCATATCTACAATAGATCTATTTTTTTTTTAAAGAAATATATATATATAATATGTAGTTAAAAATTACATTTAACCTTAACATGATGCCACTGCGATTCCTTGCTGAATTTATGCTGGAAAAATAAAAACACATCTGACACTCGTAAAGTGCAATTATTACAATTTTTTAAATAGGTTATTTTTATATTTAACCACACAGTAAAAAATGTAAAATAAATTTGCGGTTAAACCTTTAGGTTCTAAGTTGAAAGTTCTAACATATAATGCAACCGTAATATAATGTAACAGTAAATATACTGTTTTCAAGTATATTTACTATTTCTGCATTAGAAAAGTATGTATTAATAAAATATATTAAAAACAAAAAAATCATGTACAAATGCAGAAAGTTATTTTTCAAGTTTGATCCAATTTTCAAATAGCTAAAATCAAAGTAAGTTATTTTACTTTTTCTAGTAATGTTGACATGCTTTTTATAAATCTGAATAAACTAATCTAATGAATATTTAAAAGTCATCCAAAATTGTTTCCTCGTTCTGAAGTGACGTAGTTTGACAATAGATAATTGAGAAAGTTGTATGTTATGCCTTATTACACATTTAAAAAATTAAAAGGTTTAGGGGTCATTCCATGCCAAATCAACTAATGCGTGTGCGAGTGGATTTTTGAAATATCTCAAATTTACATATCCTATGCAGATAGTTCCATAAAATCAGAAAAGTGTAGAAAACAATTTTTTTTGGTCTTAGGCGATGCTATATTCCGGAAATTTGTTGTGAAAACAAATTAAGTTCATGATCACCTCACTTTATGAATAATTATGATATCGCAATTGAACTTTTACTAAACAATTTTAATTTAAGTGTTCTTTTTCATAATATACTAGACAATTTTTTTTTAAAAATATTTAAGTACTTAAAAACTGAAAAACTAATTCAAAGTTTTATGAATTTCATTCAATTTTTTTACTGACTTAAGATCAAAATTTCAAAACTTTTTTTATTCTGATACATCATACTATACTTGTTTGATTCATAACTTTTTTCTTATGTATAAGTAACCTTAAAGTTTGGCATTTTACTAAAAAGTGATATATTTAAGAGCCTATAACTTTTTATCACATGAACTAAAATTTTTGAAATTTTTACAGGACTTACTTATATGTATGTAGAACATTTGGTAAAAGTTTTGTAATGGAGACCATTCTTTTACTAGAAGCTGTGAGACTTTCAATTTCTCAAATTTCGTATTGTAGGACTATAATGAGAAATAATTTAAAACGTGGTTAATTATTTGGAAATATTTAAAAATTTTGCTCTTATATATAGCAATCATTGGTTTGCAAAATAAAGATGGAATGTAAGAAAAATATTTAAGTGGAAATTGGAATTTGAGGAGAAATTACGCTTTTCTAAAAAGTTATATTAAAAAACAGAAAATGGACTCTGTCTTGAAGTTTCTTTAATCTTTGGCATCGGTCTGTAGAATTTTTGATGTTAGGATTAGGAAAACAAAAACGGAAATAAAAGTCACCTTAACAACAGTTGAGTTATTACTTATTAAGCAAACGAATACATTCTAATAATCTATGAGATATGAGGTATGACAAATTGTGCAGTTCCCGTTTGCTCTTAAGTCATAATTGTACTGTGTCTCAGCTTCTAGGGTCTTTAAATATACTTTGTTATATTATAAATTACTATATAAATGTTATTATAATATTAAATAATGGTCAAATATTTTAATTTCATGAAGAAAAATTAAACCTAGAGTTAAATTACTATATTTTTAATACAGAATTACTGTCAATGCCAGGAAAGGGGAAATGTTTGTAATAATCCCCCCGGGCTCCGGAGATATAATTTTCATAGTAGGTCAATGAACTCTAAGCCACAGCAGGAGATCCTAAACTCGCCACCGTAAAAATGCAAAACGCATTATTTTCCTTCTTCGCTTGTACCATACTTATACAATACTAACACTTGTAATAATAATATACCTATTACATGGACTAATGTTGTACATATATAATTGATTACCTATTTGGTTTAAAATACTTCAGCAGCAGACAGATCCTATTGTAATAAGAATTTTGTAACGTCTATGGAAATGCATATAAATTGTTTAATAACTATCTGAAACGTTTAAGACTATTTCTTTCGCAAAAATAAATATTAGACTAAACAAGGACTAATATTAAACAAATCATACAAATTAAATCGACGTGCTAAAACTCAATGCACACATTAGCTCAGGCGCGGATCCAGCTTGTGTTAACGGGAGGGGCGGTTTAGTAATGCACTTATAAGATATATATATATATATATATATATATACAACGTATCCAATAAGACATTAGGACCTATTGAAGTATTGAACCCTGCGGTCAATATGAACGGCACGGGTTGTGCAGCTAGCGATAGGTACAAGATAATATTTGTAGACCAAACAATATAAAATCAGATTCTATTTTTGACAAAAAAAAAAGAAGACACATGGCAGTCCTCGGCCGCCGGTGTGAATATTAGTCTGCGTTCACTCTGATAGAGATTTTATTTGTAATATTACATAAAATTGATTTATGAACAATAAAAAACAAAAGTTTTGCCCCAAAATTAAAATAGCAAATACTATGATACAGCCAACGGGGGGGCGGCCGCCCCTACCGCCCCCCCCCCCTGAATCCGCGCCTGCATTAGCTATACCTAGGTACTGCTAGGCTAGCTGCTACAGCGTGGATATGCTTGTCGTCAATATTATAATTATTCATTGATAATTGAGTATTGATATATTATACCTATTATGACAAAAAAAAACAAGGTAGGTCAGTAACTCGTAATAATGATTGAAGAATTGCTGACGGCTTTCACGAGCTGACGTGTATTTCTAACGGTACTAAACTGGTATCTCATTCTGATAGTTAAAAATTCAAGTTTGCGTAGGTACATACCCCTAGTTTTAATTTGTGTGGTTTGTTGGAAGTGGTTTTGTTGTAGCTTTGCATAATGTGAAAAATAAAAACTTTATAAAAAGCAAACGGGACATTAGCCTTACTTGCATTAGCCATTAAGCTACAGGTAAATACATTAATGACCGTTTTTAAGAATGTGTGTCCAATTAGTTTAATTTAATTTATTTGATAACAAAGAAGAAACGTATTACATAATAAAACTAATAATAAGTGAAGTTAATTTGGTTTTTAAATTTTATATTTATTAGACTATACCTACTGTACCTAAATGCATTACATTTGTGGTCCAAACATTTGTATCCCAAGAATTATGTACATACATAGATTTTCATTTATTTAACAATAACATTACAATACAAAAAAAAATAACACAAAAGTTGTACATACTATATAAATATTACTCACTTAAGACTACCTACTTCTTCATCTTCGCCTTACATTCCCAATTACACGGGGTCGGCAACCCTAGTCCTACACCTCCATAGAGCTCATCTCCTACATCTCATTCAATCACTCCAGTCTCCAGCTATCCTCATATCACTCTCTATTTCGCCTATCCACCTTTTCTTCAGTCTTCCTATTTCTCTCTTTCCCTCTACATTCATCTTCAAACAACTCTCACTGCCTCTGCCTCATCTTTTTTCATAACATAACAAGAACCATCTCAACTTATTCTCTCTCATTTTCCCCACAATTGATGCAACTCTCTAGGAGTCTAGCTCCCCCTAATGTATTAATTTCTTATTCTATCCTCCCTAGTCACTCTATTCGTCCATCTTAGCATTCTCATCTCCGCTTCACACATCCTCTGTTTAATTTTCTTGTCTACTGCCCAACATTCCGACCCATATAAGTTATAACATTGCTGGCCTCACTACCGTTCTATAAAATTTACATTTCAATTTTATAGACATCTTCCTGTCACACAAAACGTCTGACGCTCCTCTCTAATTCATCCATTCACAATTTATTCTATTTTTCACATCCTCCTCAAAAAACCACCGTTTTCTGTACTACCGATCCTAAGTACATAAGCCTATCAACCTCACATATTTCATCATCATCCATCTGCATTACCTGTCTTGTCCTATAACTTTCTCCAAAATCAAACACGATTGTCTCCGTTTTACTCCTACTAATCCTCAGTCCTTTCCCTTCCAGTGCTTCTCTTTACTCTTAAAGTCTTATATCCAATTTTTCCGGACTTCTCCGCCATTGCTACGTCATCCGCAATTATCATACACCATGGCATTTCCCCCTGTCTATCTTTCGTAATCTTGTCTATTACTAAAGAGAACAAAAGGACTCAACGCTAACATTAACACTAAAATTTCTTCACTCTTGTACTTGCACCTTCATACATTTCCTCTATTATTTTACACACACCCTCAGCACTCCTTTTTTTCTTAAATTCCACCTCAAAACCTCACTCTATC